TGGAGGCACCAAACCACTAGTAGATTCCTGAGTCGGTACACAGCTGGAAATCAGCCGTGGATGATTCACAGCGTGCCGCTGATGGAACCGATCAGGGGGCGCGGAAAGGGGGGGGGGAAGGTGTGGTGTGTGTATGCCTGTGCCTGTGCCTGTGTGTGTGTGTGTGTGTGTGTGTGCGTGGAAGGGAACTTAGGGGAAGGGAGGAGGAGGGGGGTGGCAATGGATTATGTGTGACCAAAGAAAGGATAAGGAAGTTTAGACGTGCGTGGGTGCAAGGCAAACTGACCGGGACGCTTGGTAGTTGGTACAAACTGAGGTTGAGTGGAGTGGGGAAGAAGGTTAGGTTGGAGGAAGAGGGTTGAGACCGGACTGGAAAGGAAGGAAAAGAGAAAAAAAATGGAAAAGAGGGAAGACGAGGGAGGGGGAAGGGGGGAAACAACAGGATGATGGATGATGATGATGAGGGGGAGGGAGTGAAGAAAGGGAACTGGAACTAGTTCAGACGGGGAATGGGAAAAACAAAAAAGGAGAGTCAAGACTCAAGACTCAAGAGAGAGGGGGAACACAGAGAGAGGAGGTGCAGTGGAAAAAGGCGGGAAGGCGGCGCCACTCTTGCGCGCATTGGCTACCCGCTGCCACTCGCATCAATCCCCAAGAATGAACATAACAATGCCAAATGACGATAATTAACAACAAATGATACGATAAGTTGGAGAGATAATGTGGACGGGCTTCTCTTGCCTTTTCTAACGAAAAAAAAATATGAAATAAAAATCAAAAAAATAAATCCAACCAAAGGATCCCAATAAATGAAGAAACAAGGTGAAGTAAGAGATGAGTAAGCCAGTCAGGAGACTCAAGAAAAGTGAAGATTACGTCGCAAGATGCCAGATGAAAAGGACCTTCCTCTTCAAACCGTCATTGCGCTTGCGGAGAACAATGGAAAAGAGCATGCAATCACTCTCCAGGGCGCGCTTCTTCAAACAAACGAAGAACTTGAACTTACGTTTTCCTCAAGTCTGTTTGCTGCTTTAATCGCATTAGTAACATGCATCCAGCATGTGGACGATCGGGTTGCGCAGACGGACAGCCAGCAGTCTCAATCGGAAAGATAGAACAAACCAGAGGCCCTGTGCTGGTATTGAACCCCCCGCTCCCTGCACGTCTGATCGATGATAATGATACCACTTTTCATCGGCCAGTCAGAGCCAACTGTGCTTCAAAGACGTCCGAAAACCCTCCCCGAAGACAAAGGAGAGTCGGAGTCAGCCCTGAATGCGGCACCTACCCGATTACTGGATGGAGGCCGCGTTCTTTGTGCTCCAGCCCACGCAGATGATGAATGCACAACTTTCTTTCCTTGTGGCAGCCAGAGCGCACTGGACTTAGCAATGATGGCGTGGATTCGGCCGAGAATTGCGACGTTCGATTCCAGGTTCATCTACCTCGAAGCTGGTCCCAAGGAGCAGCTGCGCGAAAATGGAACCGCGCAATGGAGCCACGAAAGTGATACTATGTGATGTGATAGTTATGATCTGCCGCTGGGCCAACCGCGACCAAAGGCGACTAGTTCGTAAGACAGCCAAGATTGTGAAGCGTAGTGTCTCGCGGGCTAAAGTCACTTCCCGCGCCGCGGGGAAAAAAGATGCGCGGTTGAGGGACTGGGAGCGATGCCACGATGCGAACGGTCGCGTCCGCGTTGACTCTGCACCAGGTGGGAGAAAGGGTGTGTAAGGAGAGTCGAGGGTGTCGCGCACGGTGCAGGTCAACACGAGGTGAGATAAGTGTTGGCCGGAGCAGAAGCGGGTGTGGCTTGGACCGGTGCTGGAATGGAGGAGCACATGCAATTCCACGAAACAGGAAGCTCGTCTAGGAGCAATTCGCGCCAGCCAGAAAGGGGACTGAACAAATCGGCAGAATCAACAACAACAACGCCAGATAGGACGGGCAGGGGGTGGGGGGGATGAAAGGTTATCAAAGGGTGCTGCGAACGCGGACGATTGGCAAGCTCCGGCGTGTAAGATCCGAGCCTAACGAAGTCAGCGAGACAGGGTCCGTTACTGTAGTCTCCTCAAGTTAGTTACCGGTAGTAAGTTAGTCAAGCCTTGTCAAGTGTCTGCAAGTGCACCCGGTTCCGCCAACCATGCAATCGTTTTGGATGGTGATGATAACAATCCCAATAACAAGTGATGATAATAAGCCAGGAAATCCCCCGTCGACTAGCTCAGGGATGGATGGCTAGGCAAAATGGAGAGTAGCGACCGTCTTGGACATTGATAAGAGAATCGGAGACGGGGTTGAGGTCAGTCGGCAGCGATGGGGGAGGAGGTATATCTACGCCAGATCACTTTGAAGGTTGTGATCGCATCATCGCTTCTCAGTATTCCAGCTACACTGCATTGTCTCAATGCTGGTAGGTTTCTGTATAGCAGGGTCGAAACACCAAGCTATGTATCTTCTTCCTCTGTCTCTGTCTCCCTTTCCCTCCTTTTTTCTTTTTAGGTCTCTTTGTTCAATTGTTCAACTCTCTTGCTACTACAACGACTACTATTGCCACCTAGCTAGCCTGCCTTTTCCGAAACGACAACTACCCCCAGTACTACTCCGGAGGACTATTCTCCTACAGCCAGTCATCGACCGTGAGAGATTCCCTGTTTGGAGTCTCACGCCTTTCCCCTTCAGGACCAATCACAAGACAGGCGCTTCTCCTCGCTTCTGGTTCGTATGAAGTTCGGATGACCCAGTCGGGCAAGTATCGTCACTGCCTGGGAGCTCATCGGGCCTGCAATGATCGAGCAACCTGGCTAGCGCTTGGCCCTGATCATCGGGGATGGGTATCATGTTCAAACCGAGTGGCGATCCGCCATGGCAAGGTGCTATCATGACCCAGATTGCAGACGGAGCGAGGTTGTAGAGATGAGCCATGCTAGATGGTGATGATGAGAATGCAGAATCGAGCAATGTAAACCATCATTGCCGGGTTTCTCTAATTGAGTTCATCTTTTAGACTTGTGTCACTTTCGTTCTAAGCCTTGTTTCGCGTGCCTTTTGTTCTTTTGGAGAGAATATTTTCAAGAGCTCGTCACAAAAGACTACTGGTCGGAGTGAGAGCTAGCCACCGAGTAGACAGATAGCTAGGTAGTGGCAGTAGTGCGTAGTGCAGACAACGAGCTGCAATCGGAAAAAAACCCGGTCCAGAGTGAGGAAGTCTAGTCAACAAAGGTTTTTTTTTCTTTTTCTTTTTTTCTTTTTCATTTTTGGTTATATTTCACAGCAGGCTGAAGAGTAACTAAAGGGTTTGAAGATGGGATGAATGATGAATGGATGGATCGACTCCAGGAATCCCGTCGTGGCTGAATTGGGATGGCACATCATGGCTGGCACTATGGCAGATGACCCTCTCGGGGCGGTCGGACGGGTCACTTGAGCGGGCACTAAAAAGAGGGGGCGATCAGGGACCGTGCGTGCTTCCGGGAACATTTCTTAGTAGTAGTAGTAGTAGTAGTAGTAGTAATAGTAGTAGTAAACACGAGAGACATACTTTTTGACATAACTACGAGGACATATGGATATACGCACATATGGAAATACTCACCATCCCCGGGCCCACCATGACATAACTTCACATAGCTCCGATAAAGGTTCTCTACTCGAAAGAGGTCATTTGGCTCGTCTTGCGATCACCAAAGAAATACTACAAGCTCATCCGTTCGCACTGCTCGCCTTCGCCTTTCCCTGAAAACCATCCTTGAACCAATGACGAGGATACTCTCACAAGGTATGCAGGCTGCAGGCAACGCAACCTAAAGGGTAAAAAAAAACGTACCACACATCCCCCTCTCGAATCCAGAATGGTAAATGATAACCCAAATCAAGTCTCTCTCCGAGCCAGTCAAGGGATAATGATGACTCAAAGATCTCCGACTTGTTGCGGCAAAAACTCCACCCATGCACGACCGGACCTCCGTGCCGTCGGGCCCAAGCTTCAATCCTCATCTGCACTGAACATTCCATAAGAGCTTGTTGTGAATAGTAACAGACAGATCGAGGGGAGAGCACACCAGGGAAGGCGATCCAATGCTAGCTGAAGGGAAAAGAATCCCGGCAACACAGCATATCGTGCAAGAGAGGTGGGTTGCTGTATCTTCCCTCTCCCCGCAAACGGGGTAGGTCAAGCTTTCTTTCGACCCCAGAGCAACGCAACTCATCCTTGCACAAACAAGAGTGGTCTGAATCAACAACGTACTTCTTGCTCACTGTGCTCTCGAGCAAGCGCCAACGGGGACGCACAACTCCCCAGCCAGAACAGTCTCAGTCCCGATTGGGTGTGCCAAGCGGCCAAGATCTCACCGGCAAGGACGGCGTATGCAAGTCATCAGCAGGACAGTCTCGGTCGACGTCGGCGTTGGAGCTGGACCGTCTGGGCAACTCTCTAGACACAGTCGAGGGCCTCCGCTCTCACTGGATGGGCTCATTTCCGAAGCATCACAGACCCTCTCGTCTTACAGCATGGCCTATCATAGCTAAGGACGGAGTCGGGAGCACTACATCCAAGTTTATTGCGTCTCCATCGTGCTCAAATCTTAATGGACTAGATATCGCGATGTCGTAGACATCATCAATGGTATTCTTTGTCTCGCAGGACTCAAGCTCTGTCGTCACTCAAGTCGAGCACGAGATGAGGCGTGCATGTTGACAACCATCCTAGGGTCAATCCATGCATGGAGGGGCGTATCGACCTCCAGGAATGTCTTTGCGTCCGGTGACCCTTTGGGTTCAGTTCATGTACGCCATTCATCTATGCTCCGGTTGCACATCGACTGCCCGGCTCACTGTTTAAGAATCCTGCAGTATAACATGTATAGCCTCTGAGCATGCCCAGATAGCCGGTTCTGTTTGGTCTGTATCACATTGAATCGTTGTCAGCCATGAACGAACGGTGGCGGATGGCATGCGGTACGACGTAGCACGCCTGGACTTCTTTCCTAACGGGGATCGCCAAAGACCTCATGGATTCTTGTCAGGTCAGGGCAGCAGATTGAGTTCACTTGACGTTCGGTAGTTCAGTTCGAGCATGTCTGTCTTAGCGAAGCTAGTTGTCGGCCAGCAGCTCTCAAGGTCTAGTCTATGGTTGACCATATCAATACTTTTTGGCCTGGTTGGCTATCTCAGTACTTCTTTGGCCTGGTCGACCGTCTCAACACTTGCTTAGTCTCTGGCTATCTGATTAGTATTCCGAGATCGATGCCTCGTAGCGCCAGTAGTGATGGTGTATCTCATGAGGATAGTACTCTGGTTCCAAAACTCCTACAGCTCTTACCATACTGCCTTCTCACGCTGGGTCCAGAAGTATCGATCGCCATTCAGCTACCATGTAGCAGCAGCAGGCCCCAAGTCCTCTCAAGTGAACACTCAACAATCAGAGCCGAACAGTATGAACCAGTAGTATGCATCTCGAATGCCTATACCTATGAGGACACCAAACCCCATTTCCGGCAGAGAAAGCACTAGATCCAACATCACTTAGATCATTGACATTGTCACCTACAAGTATAGCCATCATACGGCCCTTTAGTCCCGATCCACCACCAAACAATCAAGCCCACCCACCTGCAGCACAGTACCTCTCGAAACCACCACCACAAACCAAACCTGCCCACACACCGAGTCCTCTTTCCTTCCTGATCAACTTTCATTCTCAATCAATCACATCAAACCCCGGGGACTCTTCCAGTCACAACGACCACACAACCCGACCTTCACATCAGACCAACTCCCTCTTTTCAAAGCAAAACCATCATAGATCCAACCCTGACCACAAACCCGACCAACAAAACCAACCAACAAAACCAAGCAATCGACCTTTCCTCCAAAAGACATCATTCCCCTCGATCCGCACCAAGCCCTCAATCGAAGAATAATCTCCATTCCTCCCTCCCAGCAAGACCACAAGACCAGATCCTCCAGACCCCAGAAGACGCGTCTCCCCACCGCACCAACCTGTCCCCTCCCCCGGCGCAGCTCTCGCGAGAACAAGAACACGAACCCACTCCATCAGACAATCCATCACAGAGCGGGCGCTATCAACGCTGGATGGGAAGCCAGAGAACGGCAGTTACGCTTCGCGCATCAACCATGAGGCGGGGAGAGAAGAATCCCGCCGTCTTCGAGAAGAAAATATGCTATATCGCTTATCGTCAGGTTCGTGCGGGCGAGGAATGGGGACTCTTACCATTAGGTTCTAGGTAAGACCGCCTCGACAACGGAAGAGACAATCGCGGCCCTCCAGGTGGTATGTGGATTTGCTTGTTCCGAGCGGAGTGTCCGTCCGGGACAGGGGGTAGTATCTTCTCACTAAATGGCGTGTCGATCGATAATCCAAATCGACGGTTGAGCACCGAGTATGGTTGCGAATGCGTCAGGGAGCGGTTCTTCGATCACGAGTGGGTCTACAAGTCTCTTCCTGTTGACAGGAGTGGGAAGAGTAAGCATTTGGCCATTGCATAGCCCCCCCCCCCCCGGTATCATCGACATGCACGTTCCAGTGAACTCCAGGCTCGGCGCTGGGGGCGAGTTCAAGCCCTCGAAGCACAAGAGCCAAGTAGCTCTCCTAACGCTGCATGACGTGAGCGGGACTGTAGTGTCGGAGTCTGCCTCGGATGCTATATACTGCCAGCGCCCTTGCCCAGAGAGAGATCGATCGGCTCCCGCCACCTACCCCAATGACCCGAGAGAAGATCCGATGGAGAAGGGAGTAGGGGGCAGGGTCTCTGCGGCGATGGGTGGGATCGAGCGTTGGAGATGACCGGTCCGCTTGACTACGGGTTGGTAAGCTCATAGGCGCCACTTACTATAAATACCATGCATGCACACCCAGTACTGTACATGCTCCGTGCACCTTGGACTCTCGATTCACAGGTAGGGCGTGTATGATATACATCGGATTCTATGGATGTGATTGTGCAGATGAGTATGTAGCGAATTGATGAAGCTCGGCTCAGGGATGGGCGACATCTTGGATTTCTGGTGGTAGGTTGGTTGATTAGCTAGCTAAAACAAGCGTGAGCGGGGCTGTAGTATTTTGATGGCGTGCGGCAGTCCGTGCGAAGGGCGGCAGAACGGCCTTCTAGAGCAAGCTGTGAGGCTATACAACTGTACAAAAGCATGCCTGGTGAGCCGCCCTGGATCACGTGGTCGGGCTTACTCAGGAATGCTGACAGGGGCGCATCCACTGCGCTCTAGTCGTCAAGGTAGCTAGCTCATCATTCTTCTATCTCTTGAACAGAGCAAGTTACGCTGGAACTCAGAGGGTGAAGTTTCTACCAGTATATCACGAACATATCTTAGCTAAATACTTAGTCGATAGTTATGCGAGGAGAAGGACGAGCTTGTTAGCACTCGGCTATTGTCAGTCTTTTGCTGCCCCACTGCTGGCGGGCGTCCTCGAGGAGGCGGCAGCGATAAAGGAGAAGAGAACGGAGAGAAGACCAACAAGGGGACGGAGATCAACAGCTGCAAGCATCTTGGAGATAGAAAGTTGGAATGCAAGTAAGGTGTGAGTACTGCCTGTCGTTCAAGAGTAACGGGGAAAAAAGACTGCCTGATGGATTAGTGGATGCTAACGGGCGCTGCCTGTCTTGATTATACCCTTGTGTTCTGGCACTTCACTTCGAGAGAACGAACAAGAACAAAGCCATCTTGTCTCACAACCTGTCAAGCCTTCCGGCGCGCAAAAAGCTCGTTTGTACAGAGACGTCGACAGGCCTGGAATCAGAGTAGTCTTGCCTTTGCGGGGGGAAAAAAAGGAAAGGAAAGGAAAAAGGCTCCGTGACAGTGCTGGTGGCACGGTTTGCATTCTTGGGGAGATCAAAGGTACTCTTTGATTAAACTTGCCAATAGTAGAGCTATGAGGGAAATGCACGAGAACGCTCAGGTGACGAAGTATTCTCATACCCAGAATTCTGTGCTGCTTGTTGTATTACCATTTGACTGAACTCCCGACAGCAAGGACACATTCTGACCTATGAAGAAAGGCTGCATACACCATGCGTTGGTATATGCCTGGACTTCATAGACAGTGCCCTTGGGACTATGATCTAGCAAAATCTTTTGGTAGGAATTCGCATCATTCACGTAGACGAGGGAGCCTTGTTTTTATGTATCTGCGCTAGAAGGACAGACAGACCATAGACTGCTTTATTCCAGGTCCGCGGAGTTGTACTCGATGTCGAGCATCTTTAACCACGACACAAACTCCTTAAGACCTGCTGGGTGAATACGTTCTCCCTCCGGGGGTGGAAGCTCACCGCGTCTCTTCATGTTGATGCATAGCTCGTACAGATACTTGTGGTAGTCGCTATCCATCTGCTTCCTCCGGGTACGGCGATTCGGATAAGGCTTCTGGTTGTCATACTCCGGCGAAACCTCCTGCCACAGGGCCGTCAACGTGCGCCAAGGCTCCGACAGCTCCGTGATATCCACATTCATCTGGTACCGCACCAGCAAAATCATGTATTTATGCGGCCTGGGAGCGCTTTCCCAGCGCACGCCCATGACTTCACCATCAGTGTTCGCGGCGGGCAAGTTGCGGAGAATCCGCAGCTGGTGGACCTCCACCCAGCGGGCCAATTGAGGAATCTTCACGGGATGAAAGGCCGCGTGATCAGACTGACGCCCCCGGGTCCACTTGCTATCGCAGTGGGAAAACAACCGAATGCGGTCGTCCGACGTGAGCCGATAGTATGGATCATCGCGAGGGGGAGCGCCAATGGGTGGGATGGGAAATGTCGGGAAAAGCCGCGGCATGCGGTAGAGATGAATAGCACGTGTCGGTGTGTAACCTATCGCTCGAGGGTTTCGGTTAGCCGAGTCAAAGCTCAAGTGGAAGTGATAGTCCGGTATATGGAAATCGACACTGTAGGGGCATGGATCGAGCTCTCCCAAAGGGTCGGGTTCGGGATCGTCGAAATTGTGCAACAACCCGCGTTTGCCGAGTCTTTCGTATTCGCTCCGATGTGGACATTGCAAAAACCCAGCCTGCGTAAAGACTTTTATTGCCTCGGTGATATGCTCATCGGGGAACACCCAGTCACGTTCCGTAGCCTCCTGCAACGGTGCCCCATAGATAGAGAGCGCATCGCATCCACACATGAAGTTAGGGATCTTGCTTAGATCGAGGATGCGAGCCACATGGGAATCCACAATTTGATCACCAAGATCACGGCGAGGTTCACGCTGCGCTTCGAAAATCTCGGTGGGAAATACTCTCAGCCATGTTTCAAGGAGTTACTTACGTTCGCCAATGCTTTCGAAACAGATATAGCACTCGCAAAAGGTAGAATCCCGTCGACTTGCTAGAAACATCAGGGTCAGGGTGTCTTGGGAGACAAGACGGTGTTTATGTAGACTTCCTCTGCCGCTTGGATCAACTCGCTCGAGAACTGTTTACAGACTGGGATTTCAGCAGAAGGGCATGCCTCATTTGTCTTGGATTCTGCTCCAACTAAATAACATGGGTCCCGCTACATACATTGTACAAGTCCTGGTGGTGCTTGAATTGAAAATGTGGCTGTGTACATTCAGTCCATTGTACGAGACTTTAACATCTCCTTTTCAGACCTGGCGACTTGGAGAAAAACAGCCATACCTGCATCATGTCCCTTTTTGTGTCTTGTGATAAACCTTTGGCCTGCGAGCTTTACCCAGCCCTCAGTTTCTATACCCATAGACTTTCTTTTTCTTCTCGTCTGAGTTGGCGTTTGAGATCAACAATCTGCAGCCTTTCGCCAGCTAGGGCTCCAACAACATACGCCTGCGTCAATCTTCGATGGCAAAAGAGAATAATCAAATCTTTCAAGATCCAAGGGCAGTCTCTGAAAACATCGTTAACTACTGCTGGAGCTGTCAAGTCAAAATGAATTCAACCACGTCCGGTGAGTCACCCACGGTTCCTTGCCTTGTGCTCTTTCAACTTATGGCGGGATCTTCCATCCATAATACATAACTAATTATTGAGCACATCTCTTATTTGCATTCTAGCCACCAGTAGCTTGTCTTAGACTCCGATAGTTACCAGATTGGAAGCTTACCCGAAGGTCATACATTACCTAGCATACAGTTCAGCGCTTATGCTACCTATAACGAGACCGATTTCTTTGGTCGACATATCATCCCTCGAAGATACCTAGTAGTGACGGCAGAAAAATGGACTAATCGGCTGCATGCACGTAGTTGGGCCGACGTGCGCTCAGGTACCTTATAATTTAGTATGTACTGTAAGTTACAGTACACCGCCAAGTCTTCTCAGCCCGGGAAGTCAGTTGGTCCGAACAGAGGGTCGGTAGGAATAGTGTAAAGTGGATGCATGTATACTACTATCTTGTTTTTATTTTCCCCTCTCTCCTCCCCCTCTCACCACACACCTTCTCTATTTTCCACCGCACGTATGACTTCGGAAAGCAAGGGTCTTGAGGTCGAGACAAATGATTCCTTCCATGAGCTGAACCCAACAGTAACATCCATCATGTCGTACCAAGTAGAAGGAACCGCCCTGATCACCGGAGCTGGCTCGGGTAAGAGAGAAAGCTTACTGACCATGTGCTCCGATTTCTGGAAGCGAACTGGCCCCCAAGACTGACTCTACAGGCAGGTGTCGGAGAGCAGACAGCCCTGCACCTCGCAGCGAACGGCATTTCAGCACTGACCTTAGTGGATATCGATCCGTCGGGCCTGGACCACGTGCACCAGGCCTTGCAAGCAAGCCACCCGACTGTGCAGGTGCTTATCGTGCCGGCGGATGTGACCGATGAAGCAGCCGTTGAGGCCGCCTTCCAAGAGACGGTGGCCGCGTTCCAGAGAGTGGACATTGTCATCAACGCGGCTGGCGTTGGCCAGCCCTTCCAGTCAACGCCCGACCTGAGCAAGGAGGACTGGGAGAAAGTCATTCGAGTTAACCTGACCGGGGTATGGCTATGCCAAAGGGCTGCTATCCGGCAGATGCTTGCGCAAGAGTATAGTTTCTTCTCCCGTCTACCCCAGGTTCCCATTCACTGCCCCTGAAGGGCTTGCCTGAATTCTGCATGGCCTGACTTGTGCGATGGCAGACCCCGTAATGTCCGCCAAGGCCGAGGCGTCATCGTCAATGTCGCATCGGCCTTGGGACTTACGACGCCGTCGACTGTGCTCCCCACTACAGCTTATGTGTCTTCCAAACATGGTAGGGGTCCCTGTGACTAACGATATATGCATGGAAAGCCTTTCTGACAATATCATGTAGCTGTTATGGGATTGACGAAATCGGTCAGTATACTCCCTTTGCTCATGAAGAACGGTCCACACTGATCATCAACACCTTGAAGGATGCCAAAATCTACGCCGCAGAGGGAATCCGTATAAATGCAGTGTGTCCAGGGTGTGTATATTGATCTAGGACTTTTGTAACTACTTTCTCCAGATTGCCTCCGATACTGACCTGATCGCAGCTGGTTTCGCACCTCATTGATTCAGTCAGAGCTGGACTCCGGCGAGCTGTCTGCAGAGATCCTCAGCGCCCCGGTGCAGAGAGTAGCGGAGACTGAGGAGATCGCGAGCGCCATCTTATTCTTGGCATCGCCAATGAGCAGTTTTGTCTATGGGACCGGCCTCATGGTTGATGGGGGGTACAGCTTGTGACCAGTCGGGCTGTAGCAGAATACAGCGGCTTGGGTGTGGAGAAACATCGGGTTAAGACTTGCGGATGATGATCTCGGTTAGCGCTCTGTGTTTTCAAGGTGATAAAGACCTTTTATTTCTTTTCTGGGAAGCGAGCTAATCTCAATTCTCCAATCAAGCATCTTATTACCCAAGCACCTCAAGCACTCCTGTCCTACTCAAGCAGTCATCCATATCTCTTATCCAAAACCCTGCTCATGAAATTTCCCCAAGATCCTCAATATCTTCAGAGCCAACCATAACCATCGCTTCATGTCTCTCTCTACATGATATCTCATTGTAGATTTGGCCCGACAAGAGCACCTCGCGGGACATAAGGTTGGAACTGGAATTTCTCCCCATCCGCGTATCGCGCCGACAAAAGGAACTATATCGCGGCCCGATCCCCGCCCGCCCCGCTTTTCTTCCGAAACCACACTCATCTCATCTTTCTCATCCTAACGTCTCAACCAATCACCATCTTCTGCCACTACAATAAGCATGAGCTAACATGCCAAGCACGAACAGTTCCCTCGGGGTCCAAAAAGTCGGTATCAACTGACTAGGAGGTATGTCACTAAGTACTAGCCCAAACATACATGCAAGTCAACATATGCAACAAACTATTGAATCTCTGTTCCAGCATTTTAGAGCCAGTGCCCTCTCCCTTGGGGACTGTCTTATCCAGCATCGAATGCTAAAGTGTATCTACCTCGCCCGGTCCTAAACCTAAGATACGACTTCCAGTCTCCCGAGTCACTAGAATAAAGAATGAACGAGAATGGGCAATTTGACTGAATCGAGGCCAAACGGCCGGGTGATAATTCATACTCACGCCAGGACTTCACGCGCACGACATCTTCTCCCCTGCGCCCTTCCTATCTCCTTACAGAATAAACAAAGCCATGTTCTCGGACCCTTTGCCCTTGTTGCTTGCATTCCTCATGCTCTGATGACGATGCCCCCCAGAAAATATCACCTCAAAACCTAGCCCTCTCAGCGCCTAGTCGTCTCACGCACGCTCCAGGCGGATCATCGAGCTTCCGGCGCGGCATATAATGGAGGGTGCAAATCGAAGAAGGCATGAAAACCTTTGCTCGAATTGACCTCAGACGTTACTAGAAATCATAAAACCACGAGATAAAAACATGAAATGCCCACCCCCCCTTCCAAAAGAGGAACAGAAAAAGGAAGTCGAATGTTGAGCTGAACCCTGTCGGAAGAGCAACCACTCATTCAAAGCTACGTGCTTACCTATCTATGAACAAGGTCTCCAGTACCATTGTCCTAGTAACGTATTTTTCTCATCTCCTCGCAAATATGAACTTACCCCTTCTTCGTCGAGGCCAAACTGCAAGCCTTGAGCTCTGTATGAATATCTTCAGCTCCGATAAGAACCTCCCACTTACCATCTTTCCATAATCTTGTACAAGTGAGGAAATAATGCTCGACATGCAACGAACAAGACCCTTTGAGAGCTGCATACATACTAAGTATACCCAAGCTGAGACGGCAGAGCCATGTGCACAGGGCACTATACCCACAATCTAGATTCCCCTCTTTGCACCAAAGTACAAGACTCAAGACACTCAGAGAGTCTATTTACGATACTAACTCAATCCCAGCAAGAAACCCTACCCAGTAAACACCCAGACTGCCAAATTCATTCGCCAATCGAACGCCAAGGGATCATGGCAACAAGGCCAAGGGTCCAAGCCACTGCACTGCATCCAAAACCACACCACCACGCGCGCATCGCACCCAATCACATCCCCCTCAAAGACACGATTCCATCCAGCACACAGATCGACAATGATAAGCGGGGGTCTAGAAAGGCCCTTCCCCATCCCCTCATCCCCTCATCATTGATAACAAACCTGCTTTACTCGAAACACGATCAACTGCTCTAGAATAGATCGACACAGACAATGGAAACCTTCATCTCGCCAAACTTGTTCTAGCCCGCGCCGCTCCGGCAGAAACCTGGAGGCGAGGGAAAATCCTCGAATAACAAGTAACTATGTGCCATCAAACTCGCCAATCCTTCTACTCATAAGTAGGATTTCTCTGTCCGCCCGCCCCGGGGGAATGAGGGGGAGGGTCCTACGGACTTATGCTCTTTCCGCCTTCGGGTAGTTTGACTCCCATCCATCCCGGATAAAGGCATTGTTCTAAGATACCCTGATATGAGGACTATGTTGAATGACTGGACAGAGGCTGTGGCGGCGGCAGCGGCAGCAGCAGCAGCAGCAGCAGCAGCAACCCGCCCGTGGTCTCAGGCCCCCTTCCCTGTCCACTACTGTACATCTGTGATGCCTTGTGATTCGGTGGGTGATGAACCATACGGAGGATCTGGAGGGGCCCGGCTTTTCATTAATCTACTAAGTATGTACAGACGGTAGAGTTGGGCGCCCAAGACCATGACCACGACCAAAACCGAGCTGCGGGGACCGACCGTAAGATCGAATCGAATCGGGAGCACACGATCGAATCGAATTAATTCAGGGTTCTTCGTGATCGAATTGCACGGCACGCCATAACATACAGTAAACTACTGGACGTAAAAAAAGTATACCTGCAGCCACACATGGATGGATGGCGTGGGCGGCTTGTACTGTATGAAGAAGAACGCTGCAGTTACCGTACGGCCGCCGGGAGACGGATGATGGGCTCTGGACACTTCGTGTGGCTTTTTCGGTCCCAGTTAAGTGAACTAGGCTATCACCGAAAGATGAGGTGGATGGCGGATGTAGCGTGTCCCGAATGAGTCGTAGTGCTCTACTTTTGTTGCGATGCTGTGATCAAGGCATTGTCGTCGGAGGACTCCGGACATAGTTGGCAGAAACATCGGGTCTGGTCGGGTTCTGCGGTTTGATGCAGTGCTGGCTGCCTGAGTGTCCCCGTAAATCCAGCGCAGTTGTTACACCAGTCAGCGCCCACGAGCTGATCCAGGACGACTCCCAGTGGTGGGAAAAATGCCACGGGAAGGCATGGAAGACATCCTGGCATGAGTAGCCGGTGTCACTCAGTAACACCCTAGTTTACTTACGTGGTCTATTCGAACTCGATCCAGGCTAGGCCAGGCCAGACCGGGTCAATTACGGGAATCTTAGTTTGATACCGGGCATTACGGGGGAGGGCCATTGTGGTCTATCTATCTCACGATGGAGACTAATTTCTCCGTGGCTTGCGACTGCACACTCAAGACGCCAGCTAACAGCCAAAGAACCAAAGAAATCCAATCGCCATGCTCGGTTTCCAAGGCAAATGGCGTGAACAAACACAAAAAGGATGTGTCCATGATAGATAACATGGTATGCCGTCATCACTGCGCTTGATGTCCATCATCAACCATGAGATCTGACATTCGACATTCGACATTCGACATCGACATCGCAAAGTCACCCCATACTCTGCTGTCACACACCCCTTCCCTTCGAGGTTTCCCACCCTCTCTTTCTTGTCTCTCTCCGGATCGCATTCCCCAGAACCCACTCCAACCGAAGGGAATGCTTCCAGTCCAATCGCTCTGGAACCGGACGGAACCATTGGAGAGTCAAACCAAATACCAAAAAGTCCAAAAGTCGATCCACGAAAAACCTACTGATTAACCTTAAGGTTCGCCTCCCGAGTCTCCCGAGTCATTGTCATGTTGTCAATCATGAACAATGAATGAGATCATGTTTTCGTAACCCCGGGGGCAGGGGGGGCTGAATACATTCGGAAAATGTTTACTGCGCCGACCGTAGGAGAACTTTTTTGACATCATGCTTGTTGTGGTGTGATGAATCGGGTTAGGTGACTTTTTGGCTCATTCTTTTCTTGGCGGCCTTTTGGGAGAAAAGGAAAGGAAGATTAGTCACGCGCCACTGATCGGCTTCCATAGAGCAGAAAACCGATCCCGCGTCGTTCATCATTGACTCGGGCGATATTGCTGTTGCTAAGCAAATTTAGTAATCTATTTGGAAAGGGGGAATAGGAAAGTGCAGCGAAAGGGGAAAGAAACAGGATAAAAAAAAAAAAAAAACCCAAGATGCGCGTACCTGACTACGAGTCGAGGGGCACTCCGAAACTACCTAGTCCCCAACCCCGCCAGGTTTATTAGGAGGAAAAAGCGCCGAAGGAACAGCACAGAGCAAGTGTTAAGGTTCTAGGTCGTTATAGAATCACCTGGACACTGGATTTTTGCTCTCCCTTCCCCAATTCCCACATGCACACCGGCGAGCGTTTCCCCTGCAACCCTAAGCGCACAGGGCACTGAGGGTTGCTCTAGGGTCGATCTGGATTAGTGTTACTGTCTTTAGCAAGGGGCACTAGTCCTCTTTCAGATCACGACCCCGCAGATTTGAGCCAATCACGCGGACGGCCACGCATATCCCTTGCTGCTTGTTCAGGCATTCTAAAGTTCTGGAGCTGCACATGGGACAGGGTCAATGGCCGTTGGAAAACCGACCTGCTTACCCCTCATTTTCGTGGGTTTGTTATCGAGATGGGAGATATGGGCTTTTCACGAAATATAGATGAGAGACAATCAGAAGAAAGGGGTCGTGAGAGGTTGACATAATTGGAAAAAAAAAACTCAGCGGAAGCCCACTCCCGGAAACGCGCGCGCCCACAGCCAACTCACTTTTTCTTACTAAGGCAGAGAACCTCGCTCCAGTTCCCAAGCCTGACCAGACTCGCTCGCCGGTGTCGAACATTCCATGGATTGCCGTCGGACCCGGACCCACTACAAAGGTCAGCTGCCCGACCATTTTTGTAAGGTGGAGTCAAGTCGAGGCCCTTTTTTGACTCTTTTTTTTTTCTCTGCTGCTTTCCCCGGTAACAAGGGCTGGAGAGCAGTAAAGATCATCCGAATGCTGACTGTACATCATACATACCTTTTTCCATGTGGGAAGACGTGCGCGTTCCCTTTTTCGCCTCCTCCCAACTGGGTTTTACTCATACTCTCTGCCGTCCAGATTTAATCTCTGTCGCTCACCACGACTTTCAATCATCACCCGATGGAGGGAATCGATAGCATGATGACTGTAGCGAATGTAGGCAGGGAAACAATACATATCCTTTCGTACAGAAAACGTGGTGGCTTGATACATACAATAGTGTGGTGCACAGGTAAATAGGCGCGTGGTGTAACGAGTCTAGACCCGGGGATCTTCCGCTTGCAGAATCTGCCAGATCAGATGGTCACGACTCACCAACCCGGATTTCTCTTTTCGGAGTTCCGTCACCACTATTGTGGTAATTTTCCCACTGTGCAGTGCGCTGCTGGGCGCGGTTCCTCCCTCCCCCCCCCCCTCCCCTCCCCTCCAGCTCCTCCAGAACCCTCTGCCGACTCCCCTCCGCCATATTTCTTCTCTCTACCTCCCCCTCTCCTCTTTCAGGCTCTTCTTATTTTTCCTTCTTCTCTCCAGATCTTCACTCCAGATCACTCAAAAGTCAATCGTCGCGCCTTCAAGCCACTCTCCTCCTAGGCATTGTATCCACATCTACTACGCTGCACTCGCACGCGCGACTAGCACTTAATCACATTCTCCAAGTAATTGAGTCACATCTTGACACTCCCACCTAGGGAGTATTCATCCAAAGTGATCTTGAATCATCCTCATCATCATACCTGTTATATCAACCATTCGTCAACACGATGGCGGTTACAACCATCGATATCATCCCTAAGACTTCTTCCTCTCCGCTCTCCTCCAACAACCCTTCCATGAATAAGCGCTGGCCCCCTCTCGCCGACAAGACCTCCCTCCCCTACAAGCTCACCACCCTGTCGCGTCAGAAACTGGCCCGCGAGGCTACTGCTCCCGACCCGGACATCCGTCGCTGCCTTGGCCACTTCCGCCTGCACTGCCGGTCCATGGAATGGGCGCAGAAGGATATGTCGACGCGCATCAACTCGTTCGAGATGGAGGACGACGAGTCCGAGGATGAGGAGGACCGGGACGATGAGAACAAGAAGCTGCCCGACGACCGCAAGGACGAAGATCAGACCTTGATCAAGCCAGCCTCGACTGAGCCTGCCGACAAGGCTACCTCCGAATTGGAGACCACCACAGTCCACGTGAGCTTCCACGTCTCGGCACCCCCCGCCGCCGAAAAGGAGAAGGAGAAGGAAGGACTTCTCGAGAAGGGCCGCAACTGCTTGGAAAAGACGGTGCAAAGGAAACACTTCTGGCCTTCGCCGGGGCAATGCCTGCCTGTTCGGATTGCAGGTTGATTTTCCACGACGCCATCAATTACTCAACTCATCTCTCAACTCATTTGACACCTCGACATCCTATCTTCAAAACAGCTCACCTCTTCTCCTACAAAACATGTCTCAAATCCGACCAAACAAAACCTCAAAACCCCACCACCAACCCACCTCAATCTACCACCTCTCTAATCTCTAATTATGACGCCACGAAGCCACGATTTTCATTTTTTTCCTTTCAACCTGTTACCACCACCATCTATTCATCTATACATATAACCAGCGGAGTTCGAATTTCGATCATCATTTCTTTTTCTTGTGGACAGGTTCCATTACTAGCTTGGCGTTGGTGTGCAGAGCTACTTACATGATCAACGGTGTTAATCGCAAGAAAGGATCGGAGCACAGCGAACTGGGATGCGGCCAGACAGCACAGAGCATTGGATATGGATTGGGAATGTATTTACATATTTTTTTTGTCTATCAAAAAGTCAAATCTCTAGATCAAAACATCACAAAATGAACAACAAAATGAAAAAACAAGTCAAACAAACTGGTCCCTCCAATGATTGGGTGTATGGTCTTCTTTCCTGTCAATCATTCCTGATAATCGTCCGATTGGTTTCCCACTCAATGACTCAAAACCCCAGACCTGACATCCCCAGAATCCCCCCGGTCAACTCATGTGACCCACGGAGGAAGTGAATAACCGGAACCAGTCTAGCGCATAAAGGATGCATACCTAGTTTAATGCACCCGCTTAATCAGAACCACCTCCTAACTTAACTAGTTACACACTGAAGCAAACTAAGCAAAGAGGTAGTATTCATGTATGAGTCAAATCACGCCCACAACTCAACCCAACTCAACTCAATTCCACGTACCTACCCTCCCTTAATCCAAAACCTACAATCAAAGAAAAAAAAAAGAACTCAACAAGAACCTACTCCACAATCAAACCCCCCCCCCCTCCTCCCGCCCGCAACTTTCCCAGCGAAACCCTCGCCTAAACGATGAGTAACTTACATACTGTATGTGAAAAGGTTCAAGGTCCCGTAACGCAACGATGATGCAACCCCCGTCCGTACCTTATCGACCGCCAATCGGATGACTTGCCCATCTTCCCATCCAATGGCCATGCCATCCATACCGTCAACAGTTTTTCCTTTCATGTGTACAATTCACGGGTTACCTTAGTACCCACTAACCTTTCCGTAGCACCGCCGCCCGAGGCTCAGCTTGTATGACTAAATTGCCACATTTGTGTCATTGCTTCGATCATTGAGTTTGATGTTGAGTGGGTGTGGGGAGGGGGGTCGGGGATGATTGGGTGGGTGTATACTTGGTTTGAGCACTAGGTGTGCGGTGGAGCTGCTGGGGTGTCTGGTCTGAGGCTACTAGTAGGTACTGTGCTGTACCTTAGTACGGTTGTGGAAGGATTCGCGGGCTGAATGGGGGGATGCGGCTGCTTCTGCTTTTCTTGTGGGGGTATCTTGACGTAGGGTCTGGGGCGATGGGTTGGGTTGGGTTCATGTGATTGTGTGGTGTGGGATGGTGTGCTGTGGTAGGGCTGATTGAGGCTTTGGGGGGCGTTGGGTCCACTTCGTTCGGTTGCTTGGGTTTGTATGGATGGAGGGACGGCATGGATACTCGGAGGACATGTGTACATACGTAGGGTATGATGTTATTCTGGGGCCCCGGGTCCCGGATCTCGGGCCCCGGGCTTTGATGGGGGAGGAAGTGGTGTGAGGTGCCACGGGGGTGTGGTGATGCATATGTACCGTACCATACCCGTAGGGGGCAGTACTTCGGGACGGGTAGGTTGCCACTTGGGACTTTTGATGATGACGGGGAGGTATTTGGATGAATAGGATGTAGGGGTTGTTTGCTTTGCTTCCCTGATAGCTTGAAATGGAGGGAGGCGAATTCTTGAGGTAGGTAAACTTGTTTGATGCGGTGAGAATGTTTGGTGCTTAGCTGGAGTATACTGTGCTGTTTGGCATGTACTATACTTGCTATCCATTCAAGGTCATTCAAGCCAATTGAGTACACTCACTGTATCTCCGACCTCGGGATACATTCAAATGCTATGTTGCTTACAGAAGATACACCCTTTGTATGTGTCACCTCGATATGCCGATGATTCGCCGCAGTCGCCTTGACGTCGATCTATGCCTCACCCACCGGAAGGCATCATATGGCGACGTCAGACCATGCTTCTCATCCGTGGCGTGAATCACAACCAAGGCTTCCAACAAACGCATTCGTTGTGGTATTGTGCGGTGTAATTGCACAGCTCTCGTATCCTGATTTCTACTCTTAGGTACAATAGAGCCGTCGTGAGGTTGTCTGTAAATGATGCTGGTCGGTTGGCCGCGTGAAAGAAAACGTCTGTTAATCGCTAAAGATGCAGTCAGGGCCCAAACCGTAAGTGGATTATGCTGCAGTAGCCATAATGGCGAGGTTTCGGTAGGAGATGCGTAAGAATAGTTTAGCCTGTAAGTTATAGCTAAGAAAGGACTGGAAAATTTGAATATGATAGACTTAATTATGTGGTAGTATGAGAGCGATGTTGACTTAAGCTCTAGCCGGAACATAAAATGCTTGGAACACTGCTTCAAGATGCGTGATGCTATTCAGACCTGCCCACAAGAATTCAAAAGGCGGATGTGGAGCGGAGCAGGCGGAGCGGAGGTGCGACGGCAGTTTCATGGCGGGCGGCCGCCCTCTCCCAGAGATCTCCGGCGGTTACATCATCGTCGCATCTACAACATCAACAACAACGCAGGAAGCATCATCTACACCAGCTTCTCGTCGATCGTATCCTTAGCATAGCGCCGCTGCTCCATCTCAATAACTCTACAAGCCACAATCAACGAAGCATGAGCACCTCCATCCCCCGTCCACTGCCCCGATCGACATCCCACCCGCCGACCAAACGGTGCGGGTCTCCATCATCGACCATTACAGCAGCCCACTTGATAAGTGAGTGCAGTACAGCCCAAACCCAATTGACCACCACTGACCCAAACATCAAACCGCGGTGGCTCGCGCCTCGACCTAACATCCGTCCCTACAAAGGCTGCGACCGCTATTGGGTCAGTGCCAACTAGGGCTTCTCCTTCCTAATCTCACACATCCCCTCCTCCCAAACCTCCTCTTCGACCTCAACATCCTAAGCGGCACTATCGACGCCGTAATGTAGAGCTACCCACACATCAACCACACCAGCGACCTCACCACCTTCCAACTTCCGACAACCACCGCCCTCATCGTCGACCCGGACTTCCAACCAACCTTTCTACCAGACAGGCCACACAACCAACCCATCCCCCTCCCCTCCACAAACATTCCTTCTTCATCACCAAACGCAGCACCATCCACGAACTCACCTTCACCCTTGGCGCAAACAATCCCAAAATCTGCACCGCCCATTTCCAAGCCCACAACTCCTTCAACAACGGAAAGCCTCTAGTAGACCTCCTCCACACCCCCGGCCGCACAGTCGCGCACACCTGCGCCCTCCCGCGTACCACCGCTAACCAGCTCGTCAACATTCATGCCCTCTCTCGAGGAGACTCGGCCCTCGCCTGTGCTCCGCGGAGTTGGCATTCCCCAAAAGGTCCCGGCGAGTGGTTTGAGGCGGTTAAATTGGGCGGCGAAGAAGCCGCGGACACAGTCGTTCTAGTGGCTCGCGCCGGAGTTGAATCATGATCTGGCGGAGGAGGAGTGGATAACTGAGGGATCGATGAAGTTGGATGCAATGCCAGAAGCATGTGGATTCTTATTGCGCATGATGCATCGATGAAGAAGGTCACTACCGTCGGGTGGGGCTCTTCCCCGAGAAACGATTAATGCGGTGGTTCGAGGAGAGCTGGAAGAGAGGTAATCGATGGAGGTTTCCGGGGAGGATGTTGAGGTCATGATTCAAGAGGTTTCGTAGGGTGATGGTCACTGGTTTTGGGGGTTGGTTCTGGAAATAGCGAAGATGATTGGGTGTAGAGTACTGAGCACATCGGCCTATGTGTACTACAGTACTACCATACATGGATACCTCGTACAGACCCCACGCAAAACTCTATAGAAAAGATAAAAGCCCTCCCAAACTTCCATATAATTCTGCCTCCCTTGCCGAATGTGGGGGGTAGGGCGCTAATCAAATCAGCTCGTAGTACACACCGATACACAAAAACATCCCTGCAACCAACCCGGCCTAGCCCATCCCGCTACCCCAAGACTGGTCTTGCATGCATACAAGCATCGTATTTCTTCCTCTCCATAGGGCGGGCTATCGACAAGAGTAATAGGTAGCTACACAGGATTAAACATGCATCTACTGTCCACTCGTACAGCAAATTCTAGCATCTAATCAGCCCTATGGGTGTTGCTGCTGGCACCCCAAATCGGTTCCTCTTGGACTGTACTACCAAGAGCCATCCGCAACGACCAAGACATCAAGCACTAACTAGACACCGACTAGACTGGCTAGCTCCACGCCACATCTCTTGGCAGAACGACGTTGTTCAGATCACAGCAAATTGATTCCGGGCTGGAAGCTGATATATATCAACAAGACCTGTTCTGATCTTTTGTTGCTCACTATTAATCTTATTATTATTACTGGAAAACAAGAGGGAGGATAAATACATATGGATGGTACATGGGGGGGGTTGGTATACGGCGGGTATAACATGCAGGAATTAACCCTAAGTTTGTCCTAAGAATGTCAGCGTTTCTGCCTGAGGCATCAATTAGACTACATGTGACAGCCTTTGGTCAGAGGATTGTTCTTAGTGGTAGGTAGCGGCCATAGTCTGTTGCTGATTATGCATGCGATACATTCATGATATCGCAATCGCTCAATGTTCTCTAATGGGGCCAGTCGATTTCATTTGTTGAAGAGTATTATGAGAATAGTAGGAGAGAGGAGGAGATATGGAACAAACACCAGGTAATTCAAGTAATCACTATATTCTTGTTCTGGAAGTATTTAAGGTACTAAGCCTCGGCCCCAAGAGGGGCCAACACACGTACATACCACCGATGGTACTAAGGCATCAATCGAAGCAAGTGCCAGGGGTTCCGAGTTCGTTCGCCTCCCTACCGTAACGGGACCTATTCCCGCGCCCGGAGAGAGGAAACCACCCAGATGTAGTTGATGCCATTATTCAGCATCTGCGATTAAAACGTGCACCCGGAGCATCTCCACATTATTCACATAAAGCTTCGGCGGATGAACCCTGGCTTCCACAAATACCTGTCCTTTCGTCACATCAGGTGTGACGCGGTGAGACATATACCCAACTTCTGACGGCACAGCCCCCGGTCGCGCCTCTTTCAGCATTCTCCCGATAAGGCTCACTCTATCAGGGAGCGTCCACGCCCGGAAAATCGGGCAGATGGCTTCGACGATCACATACTTTCGAGGCGCGGCGGGGCTTATCGTGCGGTGACACACTTCCAGAAATGTATTCATCGAGTTCCGGGTCACTGCTTCAACTGTCTCGTTGGGCTCGACGGGGGCGGGGGCAGGAATGTTTGCGAGCACCACGCACTCGCTGCCGATCATGACCACGACCGCGGCAGTATTGCTCAAGAGCTTGGCAGTGCCGATGGCTCTGAATTTTGATTTCGCCACTCTCATTGTCCTTCTTGTTCTCTCCGGAGTCTGGGCTTGGAGCGGTGAAGGTAATGCTGCCCACGGCCCCGGGTTCGATGACGGCCACTTCGTCGGCCAGGATGGCTTGTTCGAATCTCTGAGCCATCTTGTCTCTTCCACTCGAAAATAGCAAGATGCTGTGTGATTGAATGGCCCTGTGTTTGAGCTGAGAAAGTGAGTCTAGTGTAGGAGTGTATGAATGGTAGAGTCGGAGGTTGATAGTGCGGAAGTTCGTTGCTTAGGGCTAGACAACAAGGAACCTACTAACTTCATGCCCTGAGCTTGAATGCCAAATTCCCAATATCATTTCATGATAAGATATGGATATCAGTCAATAACGATGAGAAAGTCAAGAGGAGTAATTCCACTTTGTCAACTGCTGAGTTCAAACTGGATATTACCATCGTTCATGGAATTTTCAGTGCCCGCCTGTTACAGAGACCTGTATGGACTTAATATTTTTTTGATCAATCAATTGACCTTAAACCGTCTGTTAGTTCTCATATGTGACAGAGATATAAATGCGGCGACCTTACTGTTTCAAAGGCAGTTCAGCCTTTTTCAAAAGTGCTTATTTCCTGGAGAAACTATCGCCAGGGCTAGCGCATCCCGAATCGCCTTGGCCTTTGCCGGTCCACGCGATACTCAAGCTCCGGCATGATATTGCCAGAAGCATCAAAGAGACCTATCCGCCTCTGTGGATTTGTATCTGATCCACTTTTCATGTCGAGGTCTATGTGCCGAAGGCGTGTCGCCGCACTGTGCGAGCCATCTCAACACATTGCGAATATAACAGACCACTCCTTTGTGAAAGAGGAGTCATATTAGTGAGAAGGGCTAAGACTTCTTTGGAGTTGACGTCTCTTGTCTCAGTGATGACAAGCTGCTCGACATTATCGTTGCCGTCGCCATAGCATAGCAACCAGTCAACCTTCCCTGCGAATTTAATACCATAATCATCGAACCGGCCCTATATGGGGGTCTCATACTCGTGGTAAAGAGCCCTATAATGACCGAAAGTCGTCTTTCTTGCTTATCACCTGCTCGAGCGGTCTGCTAAGCACAAACCCGTAATGATAAATACCTCTGTCACTTGGCGAAAAAGCTCCAAAGCGCATATCAATGTCTGCCTTCTCGTCATTCTCCACCCCGTTCACCACAGACTTCTTCTCTTCCTGATCCTTCTTCTTTGCGAGACGTTCCTTCTTTCCAGCCTTGGGCAATGATATATGGTTATCGTCCAGTTCACTGCAGACTAGCCAAGAACATTGCTAGATTGCCTGAAGGCAAGGGATCGCGTATCATCATTTGGCATCGGGACGTTTGAATGCAGATTGTGGTGCCTCGTATTCCCAGTGTATTGTTCCAGACAGCCAGTCCTAGACTTGTTCGGTGATGCCGCTTAGTGCTTTTGCAAGCTCATCTCTCCAGTTTCATTAGTTCCAAGACGTGTTTCTGGAGCGTGGGCGGGCTGGGGAAGCGTGGACCATCTCATCACAAAACGAGGCAGAACGAATAAATGCACAGCCTGCGTCACAGCCCTGTTGGTCAAGATCTGCTGGATAGTAATGGGCTCTGTCCGCAGTAGACAGTTCGTTGATGGCAAGTAACGCCCACGCGTCGCTGAGACGGGTGCCCAAAAGGAGGCCAGTGGCGTTCCTCCGGCAAAACCTGCTGGGGATTTGTTGCGGTCGGCCACTTCTCTTTACTGTGGTAGCTCAGTCAGGATCTGTTCACTTGAAGCTTCGCTGAAGTGCTCACCGAGATTTCGCGTACCGCGATCTCTAGAGCTGGGAGGAGATATCCTTGTCCGTGAAACTCGTCCATTGCGATAAGGCTTTGCCGCGGGAATCCCACAGATGCAGTAGAGACATGTGTAAGCTGCACTTTGCCCATCGACTGTCATCCCAACAAGTTATCCGAACGCCTGACAGCCGCAGAATACGTGTCAAGGTCACTTGCATGGCCAATAGCTCACAGCTCGGACGTGGCCATTTTGTCTCGTCAGTGGTATCTGACTGGTACCGGTTCCAAATTTTACAAGCCCAGAATACTTATGGTAGCGAAAATGGTATTGGGCTTCCATCGGCGTTCTATTGGCTTTGTGGACTATGTCCATTCCTTCCTCGATGCGAGGGGGAGTTCTAGTCGACAGACCATATCGGTGCACCATTGCTTATGTGATGGCAGCCAGAAAAGTTTCTCCTGGGAGTTGCGTCGTCAGTAGATGGGCCCTGACCCTGTCATAATATGAAGGCACCTATCCCCCTAGTAGACGTGCAGCTTCTTGCTCAAGGTGATGATATGTTTTGCAAGGGGTGAACGGTAACAGGACTTGACCTCAGTGATTGATTCTGTCATAACGAGCCAGGTTATAAGCCCTTCCAACAACGGCGCTAACATATGACATTGCAGGACCGGACCGGCTGGGGCGGGGGTATGACCGGGTGCTATCCTAGATGCAGTAGCAGACCCGGACGATACTGGCACAACAGGATTGATGATCTACGCTGGCCTCGATGTTGACTGGACCAATAGCGGCGGCATTCAGGAAGAAGATTTTATTTGCCGGAGCAGTGGTTCAGCATGTTGCTTGTCAAAGGCAGCTGCGAATCATTCGCACTCGTGCTCCGAAGCCACTTGCCCTTAGCCCTCTCCAGGGCTTGTGATCAAGCACTCCATCCTGAATACGGTCACTTCCATGTGACTTATGGCTTTGTGCTATTGGAGAATATGTTGAGCAAGGATTTCCCTGCTGAATCGTCTTTCATAGACGTCCACAGCATTAGCCAATCTTGCTTCCCTTCAGTCAATCTAACGTTGCAGCTCTAACAGTGTGGAAGTTGTCGACATCACGGCTTGCAGTCCTTCCATTGCATTTCTCGAAGCCCACTATGATGGCTGATATCACCTTCAGGAGATGAAAGTGACTTCTTCGATGTGCAATTCCTAGATCCGAGCTTAAGAAGATTGTTCAATGGCTTGCCGATCAGACCAGTAAGCCTCGCTAGCCTGTCCGAGTCCGAGTCCTTTCCTCCAACCTCATTCTTTTTCTCAATCGCAATTGCCTTCTTTCTCCGTGGCTTCTGCTTCTTGGCCTTTATGGAGTCTCCAAAAACCACACCTTCGAGTCAAAGAGTAAGTGCCTCGAGCACCTGCTCAGGTCTTGAGAATAGGTTCCCATCCCGGTTGTCTCTGATTTCGGATTTGCAGGAGCGTAGGAGCAGCATGACGACAAGTATAGTCCATGGTGAAGGTGCTTGTGCGGATCCATGCTCACTAGACTGTGACAGTACCTTCAGAACTGTGCGGCACTATGACCTCAACATCCAGGTCATCTTGGGTGTGGAAGGTGGAAGATGGCAGAGAGACACTCCTCGAACAGCACTATTTTTGCACCCTGCTGCTCAAGTCTCATAGTCTTCTCTGCCATGCAAGAGAAGTTACCAGAATGGGTTCCCGCCTGGTTCTCAAGGTCAGTGAGGCTTCGAGATCCTCCCTGTCCTGGTAGCGTGATGTTTTGGAAAATCATTGCTGAAGAACTTATGTGTACTCTTTTGTGAGCTTTTCTGCCTCTGCTTCGTCAATTAGGGCCTTGGTTTCCCTGAGTGTTCTCGCAAGTGTCAGTGATAATGCCTGGTTGACCATTACTTCTACCGAGTAACCTGCTCGACTTACGAGCGAGTTGCACACGTGCCTTTTCACCAAGAACTTCATGCGTCCATTCGGGTTCTTTTTCATCAGTCTGTAGTTCTATCATGATACCCAATGGAGTAGAATTCCGAGGTTCTCGACTCGAGACCATTGTTTTTCGGGACCGTCGTACTCAGTTGCTGGTTTAACAGTTGCGTGCCCCCTGCCTTCTGCACGCCGATTTCTATTCACTCTTCCCACACGCGGACGTTCCTCACCTCTGCAGGAATCGTTATCGTGCCGTGACAACCGATAATGCGTAGGCTAGAGATGTTGGGTCGTTCTTCGCGATGCCTTCCAGGCCGTAATCGTCTGGTTCTTCATGGGCGACATATGCTTCAAAAATACGACTCCCTTCATAATTTCTCCCCAGAGTTCCTGGTCGAGTCCTAGGTCCTTCAAGACAGTGCGAGCGCGCGTGAGTATAGTCAAACCGACGCGCACAGTTCAACTCTTTCCACACCCGAAGACCCCTTCTCATTTGCCTGCTTCTTGTCCAGCTTTGATCGTGTGAGATCTGCTCCAGCAACCCACGTGGTAGATCTTGCACCAGGCAGAGAACTTCACATCTAGCCCTTCGCAAAGAAGTTGGGTCACGTTGGCGGTTTGGAATGTTCTGTCCTTCGTATCAACCAGACACAAGGTCTTGTCTTCAAATTCCATGCTTCCCATGCCAAAGGATAGCTCCAAGAAGAGCAGCTGTGGCCTGACCCGTCGCCTTCGACCCACGCTTCTGTTGCTGGTAGGAGATCTCAGTAAAGCAGACATCATCCTAGGCTCGAACACTTAAGTTCTGTCTTTTGAAAGATCGAATACCCGGGTAGTAGGACGCCGACGATAAATCGGTAATTTCCACCTCCTCCACAGCTTGCTGAAGTGCTGGTCCAGCCGCTGCAACAGCTTCTACTAAGTGGTACATAGCGGTACGCATGACTGGCAGAAGCCTTGCTTTAGGCCCTTGACTTTGGTCAGATCCTAACTTCCTGTTTGAAGGTCATGTCGATTTGCAATGATGTAGCCTTCTCTCAGATACTAGACCTAATGATGCTCACGCAAAGGCTCTGCCATCTTTGTAGATATTCTGGATGTAGGTAGTGGTGTTGGTCCTTTCTTCCAGCACATTCCGCAGCACACGTTGACAGGGCACTGCTATATATCATCGGTAGCCAGTTTCATTAACTGTCTTAAGCCTCCTGGTGAGCCGCATCGAGTGTCCTCACGCTAAAGACACTTCTCTTGTAATGTTGGACTTTATGTTTGTGGGCTTTGGAGAGTTGCAATGACAGCTGCTACATAGCGCTGTCTCGTAGGATGTTTGCTCGGCGGCAGTTTCGTATGTGTCATTGTCGTCGCTATCCTCGCCGTCACTATCTGCATCAGAATGGGTACGACCGGAGATATGAGGTTAATGCACAGGCTCCAAGGACGTGGGCTTCCAGCATTCCCTCTTTCTGCTCATATTGCTGCTGCTGCATGATTTCGCGCGAAGATTTGTCAAGTAGGGCGTCATCAAAGGACAGGCCCTCCATCATTGCTCTGGTTGTACTAGTCAAGGGTAGTCCCAATGCTCGTGCGCCTGGTTTAGCATAACCCATCCCCACTGACCCCTGATTAATGGTATGACTGAGGGCTAAGCTTGGCTGGTCAATATCTCAAGCTTGGAAGAGAACATATGTCGTTGGGTTGATTCCCTTGACCAAGTGTAGTCCAAAAGACACAGCACTTTGCTTCACTCATTTCATTGAGTCTCCATGATCCATAATCGCTGATAAAGGAAGCTGACAGGCAGGTTCTGGACCAGACCAGTCGATAGTGATTCAAAGGCCCAGTGAGCGAAAAAGGATTACCTGTAAGAGCTCTTCCGGGTCTTGACGCGCAACTGCTCAGCAGGCCACAAACACCATAATAATGTGGCAAGTAAATGAGGGCTCGACCTGTATTCTTGCACCAACGCTTCATTGCTCAGAGCATATTGCACCCTCTGCATGGACCAGGACTTGTGATCGATCTGAATACAGTTATTGCATTTCTGTCCACGACTGCCACCGACACACATCTCGAAGGCGTCCATGCAGCATATGCCGCACACCAAACCGAGAGGAAGCTGGTCGGCGCTAGTCACGAGGATGTCCTCACAGAGCCGAGCCCATATATTCATCAGTCAGCAGCACTGACTTGCCAACCAAGAGGGTGCTTCCTCTTGGGAAAAAGTACTGCGCATTCTCGTCGGTGACACCCGCGCGCGGCTGGACCGTGTGAAAAGAACGGAAGTCAAGACTGGCGACAATATCCAACACCGCTCGCGACCTGACAGAAGCTGCAAAGTATGCCCACGACCGCTGCTTTGATTTCATTGTAGTCGAGACCGAATGATTTCATATTAGAGGTGGTAGAAGGCGGTTCGAGCGGTGCCTCAGTCGAAAAAGCCTTGAGATCAATGATATTAGCGGCATGGAGGGGAGAGTAGCCTCAGGGGCTCCCAGCAGATGGAGCATACTAGAGGTGTAGGTTCAGCTTTCTTTGCAACCAGAGGTAGCAGACTACTGAATCAAGGTAAGCAAGTGTTTCTCACGCAAGCAATAAACTGGCGCTTACCGGAAACAAGAGCACATTTGTGCAAGTCATTCTCGCTGGGCTTCTGTCCTGTATCACGCAGACTTTCGACGATGGGCCAAAGCCTACGCTCCGCCTCTCGTGATTATTCGATCTGGTACTCAGGCTCTTTCCCGTCCTTGCGACTGGTCCAAAGCTCTCGGTCTCGCTCTTTATCTGTATCATTGACCTCCGAGAAGCCATAGCTAATGCGTCTGTGCTACTTGTGCTCGCACAGGACGTACCATCCTTTGTACTGTGGGAAGAACAAGCGGCCGTGCAACTCGAAGAGAGTTGTGTGGCGGAACTTACAAATCCTTCATCTTGAGTTTGTACTGCTTGATCAGGAACACAAGCTCCCAAGGAAGTCTTCTGAACGGGTCCATCCTGGCGACTCTATTCGCTACCGATTAGCTAGGGGCACAACCTAACCATGCAGAGAGAAAGGAGGATTTGCTATTTCTTCCAATCCCATGAGAACAGTCGAGGTTACTATGATCAGGTTGTTTGTTTCGCAGTATGATCATCCGCGTTCAACATGCTTCCCTAGAAGTTGTCAACAAGGCTAGAGACATCCTCACTATCCTCGAAACTGACAGGAACAGGGATTTGTCTGGCTGGGAACCATGTCATTCTGTGAGACATGACTTTGTGTTTGGCACAGCAGTTGTTGTTAGGATGCTAGAACGTGACCTTAAGCAAGCAGACTTGGACAAGAGGGTACGGTCCAGCTCAGATGGTCTCGCGAACGGAAGATGCTCAACTCAGTGGTTTTTGTGGTGTTTTGCTCAACCTGAGATACATATCAGACTATCGAGACAAAGTCATTTAGCACCACTTTCCAATAGCGGTTCTATTTTTTTTGTGTCATTAAAGATCGGGAATGCGCATGAAGACGTCTCATACCAGACCGCAGCATTAAAGCATTTTCCGAAATAGGCATGAAGTTGTCCAAGACCTGTCGTATTCTAGAGCTTCAGGTCGTCTCTACTCCGCAGGATCGAAAGTTGTAGACTTTCTCGGTCCCCGATAATTCTTAGTTGTGCTGCTTCAGTACGAAGCCGAGCTTGTTCTGGTTTCTTAGAGCATCGCTCATGTCAGCGAAAAATAGCAGGACCTTCTCTTGCTCCTAAGAGAACATTGCCCAGGCTACTTGCTCAGAAAGAGCTCCAGGTGGTCGAAACGCTCAATAAAATAGGCCGTTATACTCAAATTCGATTGATCGAGACCTTGCACGAGGATCGGCCTACCGGTGGTTGTCTTTGTGGTCAATGCTTTGCGGTGATTCGGATCCATGAAACGGTTCTGATTTGAAGGAACAAGATACTGGCACTGGGATTGACGGGCTACTCAGCCAGCAACTGCGTATTTCCAAGTGTCCGAGGTCAATGCGCATCAGTCCCAAGATTCATTCCCTGGGGGCATCAAGATCGAAGATTCCCCCGGTCTCCAGCTGCACTGGAAAAAAACTGAGTGAATTCTTTCCCACGAGCGATCCACTGGAGTCAACGAAGGGAGTAGTAGAAGGACCACGGATCTTTTGGACTTTTCTTTGCGGTGTTTTTGAGGAAGCCCTGGCTGGTTTGTCGGCTTCCTAACTGCAAGCTAACTGTACCAGATGAGTTAGCAATCAATGTACTCTGTCTCGGTTCGATTGTAGGGCTGGGATTCTGGCCGGCCTTCTTCGCCCTCCTCTCCGGCCTGCTTGTAGCAACTACTGCCTGAAGACAGCGGCCAGCTTGCAGCTGAACCCGTACGGCTCGTCCAGCGGCTGCCAATGGAGATTCTGGGATGATCTTCTGCGTTCAGTTTCAGCTGTTGAACGACCTCACCATTAACAATACCCTTCTCTCTAGGTAGGTAAGATTTGCTTTCTGTTGTTGTTCAAACAGGGCTCAAGTATATCGCCTGGTCCTGTACGAGAGATGAAACCCGCAGTGCCGCTTGGCAGAGGTAAACTTTGAAGGTTTTCGCGACGATAGGTTTAGCTAACGTTCGGCTATTGAGCCATCAGCAATCTTGTTGGATTTTTCCCCCGATTGTATGCTACTGCAGACTGGACGAAGGAGTTGGACCTGTGCATAACATAGATACGAAGCCCAAATGCTGCAGTGTGCCGCTAATCAGCGGTTGTGTCCCTCGCCCACCGCCGGCCATCGGTGCGATAGTATCAAATTTCTCCCTCTTGAATCAAGGCTGTGAAACCTCCCGCAATTATCAAAAGTGATACTAATCTTTTCCTATGCTGCAGGTACTTTGCGTTCAACGTCGTATTCTGATGTTTGCCACCTGGAAGAGCCATTTTTTGTCGAAGCTGATTGTGAGGGATATCTCTTGTCCTCTTTCAGGCACGAGGGAGGGTCTTGTAGGTGCTGATCCTTGAAGACACTTTGTCTGTAGTCATGCTGACTGGTTTAGTGAGAAGATGGATAGCCCTCTTGTGATCTTTCTTTGGTTGAACCGGCATACGTGAACGGCATGTCATTGTCGACCATAAAACGGTAAGGTAGTTTGAGAAATAGGAAGGTTCAACCGGAGTTCAGAACATTGCTGTGCAGCTCGCGAAAATAGTTGTCGGGTTTGTAGTTTGGCTCCTGTTTTGACTGGCACAGTCTTGGTCAGACTCGTTCGATGTTGACATCGATTCGAATGGTTACCGGGGGTTGTTCCGTGGTAAGTAGTCTCATCTTCGATGCAAAATCCCTGGATGTAGTTATAGTAAGTTCTGCTTGACTAAGCATATCGGTCAAAGACAAAACTTTGCTAAGTAAGGGTAACTAGACGGACACAGTCTGATTTAGGCGTGTCCTGGCCGGTTTGCAAGTCTGATGGGGCAGTTTGCAGCCCGTCCTGAAATCCAGGTGTTGCACGTCCAGCCCACTGTGACCGATATCACAGACCGGCACAAAACTGCCAACCGTGTGGGCTGAAGACATTTCTGTGTGATAGGGCACGGCAAGCCCAAGAGTCGCACGCAGCGCAAGGAGCAGGAGTCGACTCTCCATGCCACACTCCTGCGGACCAACCCGCCCTGAAGCTGCACGTGGTATGTTTTTAGGACATGAGTCGACTCTTCACGCCTTGTTTGCCCGGGTACCATTCCCTGGTATCCAACCCCTATGTATCAGACAGAGAACAGAAATTGGCAGCTCAGGGTCTCCATAGGAGCGACAGTGAGGACACTATTAATATTAGAATTTTTAAAGGCTGTAAAGGTATATCTCATCTCCGTAGGCTCAAACCTACTCGCAAGAAATCCCCCTGCGTCACTGGCGTGCAAACTGCATCGAGGTTAATCTCTGAGATCGGCGATGAGATCTCAGGACTTTCTCCCCATGCATCTCTGGCTCGCACCCTGCATAGAACCAAATCACATCTGCGCTAAGCCTGGCTCCATATTCGCGGACCGACCACCCAAAACAGCATGGGAACTTCTTCAGAGAGGTCATCGGGCCTTCGTTGTAGTAGCGTGGATACACGGCACTCGCCGTCTTCAACAAGGGCTTTCACCAACCATGCTTCTTCCGAGACTGAACGCGGTCTTCTGAGAGTGCTCGGTCGCCAACGCAATAGGCTCAAAGCGGTTGAAGTAGAGGTGGCTCCTTCTCATCCTGATAACTGTCTTTTTTTGGCCTATATCTTTCTACCCTGGGGAGTAAGAGACGGGCTGAATGACCCAGGACCTGCAGGATTTGCTTCTTCTCGTCGGCTGCCGGTTGGGAATTCTGGTCTTGACGGGAAGGCCCATCGACGTTCCTTAGGCGCTTGAGGGTGGTTATGTTGGACGTTCTTGTGGAAGGCCTGTCATATGCTGTTGTACGTGCGACACGGAGCCATAGTCCTCTGCGTTGTTTTATGTGGCACCTTATCAGACACAACCCTTACCGCACCATCCCTACCGAATTATTTGTATTTTTCTGAGTGGTTTCATCTTGGAAGATGTGTCAAACCTCGGAGCCGCTCCGCATCCGCGTCTTCGAGGCAGAGACTGGTGATTTTGGTGGTAAATAGATGTTGGATCCCAGGCTTGGGCATAGTGCATCTAGACTGATGGAGACTTCATACTAGGATTATATTAGTATCCCAGATAATGACTTCATGTATGGAACGGAGTTGATGAGGATACTTATGATACTTCACAGGGCTTATGGCTTCGTTTTCTTCTCTCTCTGATGGAGTCTTGGGGTAGTTTTGAGGCTGGCCCCTGGGTTGAAGTCGCTGGGGCTTAAATATGTGATATGGTGGACCTCTAGAATCAGAGGATCAAAATGATTCGGAACATTTTATCGCTGGTTCGATAGAAGGGGGAGAGGATGGAGAATGGAGGATGGAGAAGATGAAGGAAGGAAGGAAGAAAGAGAAAAGATGGAGAATGAGAAGGGAATGTATAGAGGGGGTGAAAGACGATTAACAGGAAAAAGATAGGGAATGGGGAAGAAGGAAGAACCAGAACAAGTTAATATACTGTACAAGCAGAAAAATGGAACTATGATGAATAAGACAATTGACTTGACCACGAAGAGATTAATGAGAACCATTCACTACAGGGCTTTTGTGATTCACTAAGCAAGTTGAGAGCCTTGAATGAAGACCTAAACATGCTTCTCCCATTCTATATACCTTCACTAGCTGGATATATCAATAAACTTGTACGCTGAGACCAGAACAAAAAGAATGTGCCTAGTAGACGCCCGCTGAATGCATGACAAGAAAAAGCACCGCCGATGTATCACTAACTCAAGAACAAAGTGCTCAAACGCCTACATTGCAAGATCATCATCATCCCACCCCAGTGCCGAATAGATTGATTTCTCCGGCGTGACCGGGACCGCGGCTGAGGTGGCCGGCACCATCAGCTTGGCAGCACTGGGCTTCCGCACCGGCGTGCTGAACACGGCTGCCGGCGCTTTGACGGGGGTTTCAACGGAAAGAACATGGCTGGGGACCGGGTTGTCTTCAGGGATAGGTATCCCAGCGGGGACAGCGGCGGGTATGAGGGCCGGTTTGGGGGGTGTCTCCATCACCATCGATGGCTTGACGCGCGGGAGGAAGGTGTCCACGTGCCGACGAGACTGCACCGGTGTGGAGGGGGCCATGTCCACAGGGCGCGGTGCTGCTGGCACCGCCGATTGGCGGGGCGGGACCCTAAAGAGGGCACCGGAACCACTCGACAATGGTGATGCGGTGGGATCAGCCAAGAGTGGTTGGGCTGGACGACGAATTGGGGTCTCCTGGACTGTGCTACCTCCGCCACGACCGGAGGATCCAAAGAACAATGAACCAGACCGAATAGTCGAGCCAGGGATCACCTGGGGCTCACTATTGAAGGGAGAGGACATCGAGAACGTGGGTTTAGAGATGGATGATGACTGCAAGAAAGTCGTGGGGACAGGGGGCATTCCCACGACAGCATCCTTCTTCCGACTGCCCTTCTTAGGCGTGGCTGCGACTTGCACTCCTTGTCCCATGGGATTACGCACGGGGTTCTTCGGCTTCCGGGAGCTGGTGCTGTGCACAGTACCAGTCGAATGCCGCTTAACGGCATCATCGGCAATATCCTTGGCCACGAGTTCGCGGTTGGGCTTGCGCAGAGCGTTAATGGCCGCATCCAGTTCCTTCTTCTGCTCTACCAGCATCTGCATCTTCTTGAGCTTCGTCTCGTGCTGACGCGTGACGGCGTTCAGGTCGACTTCGCGGTTTTCAGCGCGTTTGGCCTTCTGGATTCCCCCACGCACGCTTGCCCCAGCGATCGGTAACAATGGATCCAAGGAATTGCGTCTCACTTCGGCCTGCGCTGGCGTAGTGTTCGACCGGCTCAGAGACGGGGTGTGGCGAGGCTGAGACGTCATCTGATCTGTAAGCACACGCTGGAAGGTACGACGACGAGACTGCTTCTGCGCCTGTTGCCGTTCAACAGGAGTACCAGGCTCTCCCTTGGGCGCCTTCTTGGTCTGAGCCTGCTTGGTGAAAGGTGAAATAGCACTAGAGACGCCCAGTTTCCGTGTGATCGACTTGCACTTATCGGGCAGACGGGATGCATAGAAAGGAATAATCACTTCCGTGCAGAAGTCCCGCACAGCGTCGCTCTCTACCTTCTTTCCGGAGAGGTGGCTCTGGCCGTACGCCGCACCTGCATCAGGGACAACGGACTCCTCAAAGCTGACAGCGTACCAGATGCACAGTCGGTCAAGGTGGAGTTCGAGCACGTTGTTCAAATCTTGCTGCTTCTTGTTCTTCGACTCCTTCTTGGCGGGTGCCTCTGGCGCACCTTCAGCATTGTCAGTCTGTTTGCTCTGTTCACCCTCAGCAGCAGCCGCTTCAAGAGACATTGTTTCCAAGATGAGAAGGATTTGCAATTGCGTTTCGCGCAGGCGTAGATCAGCAATCATCCTCTTGGACTCCGTCTCCCTCGACGTTGGGCCTTCCGCGGACAGTCCCTGATCGCTGAGCGTCCGGTTCTTCCACCACTTGCGCACCAGATCAGTTTCTTCAGGGTAGAGCCCATTCTTGCCAAGCTTCTTCTTTGTGCTCTTGCGTTTCTTCTTCCTGGTTACCGTTTCATCATCCGACAAAGTAAGTAGCACATCACTAAGCATAGCAGGTAGGGTCTCGCGATACTTGAGATCCATCTTCTTAGCGACAAGGATAGCTTCCCTGTAAAAATCAATCAAATCCTGAGGTCTACTGCCCTCGGACTCGGACGATTGAAACGCAGCCCGGCAGCGCGCAAGAGGACCTTTAGCAAAGTACGCCACAGACGTCTAAGACTCCCGGTCAGCATATACACCTTCAGCCGAAGACACACCAAACTCACCTTCGAGATATAAAGCGCCTGCAAATACTGCTCGCGCAAGTTCTCCAAGAAGTCCTGCGGAGACCGTAGGGCATCAGCACTCTCCTGCGCCAGCACCTGAACAGCATCAACACCCGCATCAACATCAGCATCAGCAACAGCACAAGCATCCGCTCCAGAAACGCTCGAGCTCCTCTCCAACGGAACGGCAATCTGGGGCGTCACAGCCTGCGAGCCCTGGCCATGAGCAGCATCCTTAAACGGCGGCACCTCACACTCAACCGTCCCAGCAAAAACAACAGCAACCTCCACCTTGGCCCTCTTCCCCACCTGCTGCAAGCCCCGAGCATCAGGCTCCTCAATCCTCGCCGCAGCCCACCACTCACCCCCTCCAACACTACCTTGGCCCTTACTGTCCTCTTCCTCCCCATATTCCTGCACATCACGTCCGATCCCCTCACCATAAACTCCCCCACCAATCTCAGCACGCACCCCCTCCTTCCCCGCAACAACCAACTCCCCCTCCCCAATCGCCTCGGCGACCCTCAACAACGCAAAGATCCCCCTCTTCACGCGCTCCACAACCACCAGCCCGCCACCGGGGTCCATCCTAGCAGCAAGCACCATCTTCTCCCGACCCGTCCGAGCAGCAGCACCGCCATCATAGTATTCCAGGATCGGGATATGCGCGACAAAAAGACATCCCGACTGGACTTGCGAGGACGACGACGACGACAACGACGCGGAGGTGACGCTGTGCGGTGCGTACTCCAACCAGGCGAACGGGATGCGAGAGCGCGGGATCAGAGCAATAGGCGCGAGGACGAATGGTTCTTGGGAGAGAGAGGTGGTGGGTGCCTTGAGGCCTCAATTAGCTTTTCCATAGACCGTAGAATATAGTGTAGTGTAGCGTGGGTGTCGTATACGTCGTAATGAATCAAGAATGCAAGTGAGGGACGCTATCAGCGGAGCATCACAAGCAGGTATTGCGGGGGAGGGTACAAGTAGTGGAAGAACACAAGAACTATAGAACTATAGAACCAGAAAGACATTCTAACAAAAACATACTCGGATCGTAATCGGCCGCGAGATCCAATCAGTCGGTGGCCCGGGGGAGTAGGAGCCCGACGTAAGAGCTGGGTCGAAGCATATCTTGCGCTTCTTGAGCGGGGGAAGTGCGCTGCTGCTTTCGCCGTGGTCTTTCGGCAGGTGGGTTTGGGTGTGAGGGACTCGGTTGAGAGGGACGGGTTGGAGGGCGCCGGAGGACACGAGCGAGGCCATGGGCGTTTGTTTTGGTCGGCGGAGAGGAGCGATCTAGTTCATGCTGTGGGCTTCCGTTTGATAGTATCCGGAGAGCAAGACCCAGACAATCTAGTGCAGTCGGCGCGTAACAAGGATCTAGGTCTATTGGGTTGTGGTAAGTAGAGGAAGAAAAGGGCTCTTCAAGGATTGCGGTGACGCGCGATGCTCCGTCCGCCATCACGCGTCCGCGCGGCGGAGCGCGGGGTATCCCATTAAGAAAGCGGTCTGCTCGGCGGTCAGGTGCCGGTTTTTGCATATTGGCACGAGCAGCTTGCACTTATACGGTGGGCTACTCGTGCCAATCTGCAAATATGAACTACCCCAGAAGAAATCATGAAGTGTTTGTTTGGGCTATCGACCAAAACTTCAAATCCTCTGTCAGCATTTGCACATTGCTTCTTTTGAGGAGTGTTTTTTGCTCTCCTTTTTTTCTTCTGTTTTTGAAGCGCTGATTTTCACAAGATTAGAGATATGTGGCTACATTTTCGATGTTAAGGCTCCAGCACAGGCTAAAGCAACTTGCTCCTACGCGACTACAAATGAATCTGATCTTCACAACACAGGCATAGCCTGTCCTTCATTAATCTATATTGCTAATTTTAAATTAGCAGCTCATGATGACCGAAAGAACATCCGTTCCTTCCCCATCTATGCGATTGCTCCTATCGGAAACTTCCGAAAGTCCAGACCGAGGGAGCCGACGGACAACACCACACGCCGAAGCCACGCACCGCGCGACTCCGAAGGCACTCGTGGTCTGGCCCATCGAGTCCCCCGGGACCCTGGAGGAGGCAGTGTTGAAGACTTTCGCTCCCGAAAACGCCGTGTAACAACCCTCCCAATATATGAAAAGTGGTATCATGTTGAATTTATCCTCGCCGAACCCGCCTCTTGTGGAGACGACCATGCAAAAAGTGGACAAACAATCCAAAGGAAACAATTGCTTTTTTTGACATGTCTATGCTCATGCTTTGAGTTGTTGAAAACAAAGCAAAATCATCACATTCGTAACGCAAACATACTCACAAGAGAAGCAGGTGCTCGGGTACAGCGTTTGACACGCTTAGTACTTGAGAGCCTTAGGCTTCTCCCAGGAGAAGGACTGGTTGGTGAAGTGACCGTTCTTGGCGGTCTGGAAGTAGATGGGCTTGGCCAGGTCGAGCTCCTTGACGATGACACCGGGGCGGAGATCGAAGTTGTTGCGGATGATCTCGACGAGCTCGTCAGAGGACTTCTCAGAGGTGCCGTAGGTCTCGACGAAGATGGAGAGGGGCTCAGCGACACCGATGGCGTAGGAGAGCTGGACGAGGGCACGGCGGGCAAGGCCAGCGTTGACGAGGGACTTGGCGATCCAACGGGCAACGTAGGCAGCGGAGCGGTCGACCTTGGAGTAGTCCTTACCGGAGAAGGCACCACCACCGTGGGCACCCCAGCCACCGTAGGTGTCGACGATGATCTTACGACCAGTCAGACCGGCATCACCCTGGGGACCACCGATGACGAAGCGGCCGGAGGGCTGAAGGTGGTAGACGGTGCGGTCATCGAGGAGCTCAGCGGGGATGACCTTCTTGATGATCTTCTCCTTGAGGACAGCACGGAGCTCCTCAGTGGTGACGTCCTCGCTGTGCTGGGCAGAGATGACGATGGTGTCCACACGGAGGGGCTTGACGGCACCGTTGTCGTGGGCGTACTCGATGGTGACCTGGGTCTTGGTGTCGGGGCGGAGCCAGGGGATGGAGCCGTCGTTGCGGGCCTCCTTCATGGCGCTGTTGAGTCTGTGGGAGAGGAGAAGGGTGAGGGGGAGGAGCTCAGGGGTCTCGTCGGTGGCATAACCGAACATGATACCCTGGTCACCGGCACCGAGCTTCTCAAGAGCCTCCTCGTAGTGGAGACCCTGGGCGATATCGGGAGACTGCTGCTCAATGGCAACCAAGACGTTGCAAGTCTTGTAGTCGAAACCCTTGGCGGAGTCATCGTAGCCGATGTCCTGAATGGCACCACGGATGACCTTCTGGTAGTCGAGTTTGGCCTGGGTGGTGATTTCACCGAAAACCATGACCATACCTGGGGGGACTTGTTAGAACAATAGTCACGTCAACAAGGGAGAACAATCAATACCAGTCTTGGTGGCAGTCTCGCAGGCAACCTGAGGGATGCGCGTTAGTGATTGGTTCGATGCACGAAAGAAAAAAAAAAGACCCCGCGTAGATAACGGCAGCCAATCAGAGGGGAGTATGCGCAAAGGCCCGAGATGGAGGGGCACGTACCTTGGAGAGGGGGTCCTCAGCAAGGCAGGCATCGAGGATGGCATCGGAGACCTGGTCACTGTTGGATTGTTAGCAGGAGAGTCTGGCAAGGCAATAAGATTCTTCTGAGCGAAGAAGAGCGAGAAACGCACGCAATCTTATCAGGGTGACCCTCTCCGACGGACTCGGAGGTGAACAGGAAAGTTCCGGTCTTGGGGTTAGCGACGCTGCCCATTGTGATGAGAGGAGATATGTGATGTGATTAAAGACACAAGAGGGGAGGAAATAGAAGGAGAAAGAGGTGGAATTGAAGGAGGAGGAGGAAGATGAAGAGAGAGAGAGAGAAAAGGAGAAGAAGTAAGCGAGGAGGTGGAAGGAAGGGGTAGAAATGAAAAGAATAAAAAGAAGGGGGGAGAGAGTGGGAAGGCAGTGGGAGAGGGGGAGAAAATGAATGGGAGCCCCGCCGGTCTCTCTCCCTCCCCGTATTAATGTCTTTCCGATGGCGCGATTTGGCTCCGGCGGTGACGGATGGCAATAGCAGAGAGGAAAAAAAAGGAAAAAAAAAAAGACTTTTAAAAGCCGACAAGAAGAAAAAAGGCCGGGGACGCAAGTGGGAACCAATCGGAGAGATTGAATCGTCCACCTGCATGCGGTGAGGACTGGCAGTACCCGGACTTTTCGGTTTTCCTTTGCGATCGTCTATCCGCGGCGGCACTTTCTAGTCTCTCTGCACTGGACAGTAGTCAGTCTTTGGAACTAGTCTAGCACTTCGAGACGAGTCTACCGGTAGACGGACGGTTCATCTGCTTGTCCGCTTCCTGCTTATCCGCATTATTGCACAGGCCGATTGCCTTTCTCCGAGTTCCCAGCTTATCCAAATTCAACCCGTGGGGGGGGCTGGTTGTTGTTGGTTGCTAACCAAGTTGCGTTGCTAGCTCAACTCAACCTTCGGGCCTTTTTCTTTCTAGTCCGGTTCCTCTCTCACTCTCCTACTCGCCATACTAGCTTGCGCTTACGAGCGAAACATCCCTGCGTCCATCTCCGACTTTTTCCCCATCGGAGATTGCTTTTCAGGTTTCCGTTTTGGGCTTCTTCCCAATCTATTTTTTCCCATCTTTTTTTTTTCCTGTTTTACAAAGATCGGACCCCCTCTTCCAACATGTCCAAGTTCGGCGTCCTAGTGATGGGCCCCGCCGGGGCCGGCAAGACGACCTTCTGCAGCGCGGTGATCCAGCAGCTCCAGAACACGCGACGGAGCTGCTTCTACGTGAACCTGGACCCGGCGGCGGAGACGTTCAGCTACGAGCCGGACCTGGACATCCGGGAGCTGATCACGCTGGAGGACGTGATGGAGGAGCTGGGGCTGGGCCCCAACGGCGGGCTGATCTACTGCTTCGAGTTCCTGCTGCAGAACCTGGACTTCCTGACGGAGGCGCTGGACCCGCTGAGCGAGGAGTACCTGATCATCTTCGACATGCCGGGCCAGATCGAGCTGTACACGCACATCCCGCTGCTGCCGTCGCTGGTGCAGTTCTTGTCACGCGCCGGCCCGCTGAACATCTCGCTGTGCGCCGCCTACCTCCTAGAGAGCACGTTTGTCGTGGACAAGGCCAAGTTCTTCGCCGGCACGCTGAGCGCCATGTCCGCCATGCTGATGCTGGAGATGCCGCACGTGAACATCCTGACCAAGATGGACCAGGTCAAGGACATGATCTCGCGCAAGGAGCTCAAGCGCTTCACCAACGTCGACGTCCAGCTGCTGCAGGCGGATCAGGACCGTGACGAGGCGGAGGCAACAGGCGGTGGGGAGGTCGCTGTCCAGGGCGATCCCGCGGCCAAGGAGAACCTGCTCAGCGGCGGCTCCTTCAACCAGCTCAATCGCGCCGTCGGCCAGCTCATCGATGACTTCAGCATGGTCTCCTTCTTGAAGCTCGATGTCCAGGACGAGGACAGCGTCGCCGCCGTGTTGAGCCATATTGACGATGCCATCCAGTACCACGAAGCGCAGGAGCCGCGCGAGCCCAACGATGCCCAGGAGGTCGATTATGAGGATGGCGATATGTGAGGGGGGGTGGGCTGACAAAGGGAGGGGGATATGTGCGAGCGGCAGGGGACTGCAACTGAGGAATGAAGCGCAAGCCGAGATCAACAACACATCAGCCGGTCGTCGCCAAACGACAGTGCGTTCTCTTTTACCGACAATTTTTTATCGCAGGATGTCAATTGGACGTCCCCACCACCACCACCACCACACTTATTGCAAGTCTCGTTTGCGAAAGGAATGTCACTTCCACCGCTTCTTTCACGCAAGCTGCATGTAATGTGCCAGGAGAGAGATTCAGCAACAAGAATATGGCCAGATAAGAGAAAGCCAGAGAAGAGAGGATATACAGAGCCAGACGGTCAAAAAGCGCCGGCCAAGCATTCTGCCCGATATCGGGACATGTGGAATGACAACATCAGAGCTTGGGTCTGTCAGCCAGCCAGCCATCAAAGGCTACAAGCCATGCATGCCATGTTTACGAATGTAAAAATCAGGATAACACACAAAAACGAAATATGAAATAATAAATAACAATAGTGATTCCAAAGAAATCTAAACCCCAAGACATGGCGAAAATCCAGCCCGAAGCGCAAGCCACACACAAGCCCATAGTATAAGTATAGTATACTATAAATAACCATAGCATACATGAACATCCACTGGGTAGCTTGGCTCACTTGACTTCACACCAAACGCCCAACCCGGCAAACTTACCAAAATGAAAGTGAAAGAAACCAAACAGACAGAAAGCCCGGGAGAGGTTCAATACCTCCCCAGAGGAACCTGCTGGCCCCTGCCGCCAAACCCCGCAGCATTATTTCCCCCAAAAACCCCCGGCTGCCGTCCTCCATGTTGCTGTGGGTGGTGCTGCCGCCCCGCGCGCTCCAGATCCTCAAAGAGACCTCCCAAAAGCCCCCTGGCGAGGCCGACCAACCACCCGACGTCGCGGGCCGCCCGCTCAACGCCGCTGGTGTACAGCCAGACCCCAACGCCGAGCACGGTACCCCACCAGAGCAGCCACCACGCGAGGCTGACCCAGAACATGACGACGCGGCGGGCGTAGTCGAGCAGCTTGAGCGAGAGGAACAGTATCACCAGCAGGAGGGTGACGGAGATGAGGTCGGGCATGGCGCCCGAGGAGGCGGCGAGGTAGCTGGCGGCCGGGCGCACGAGGTAGGGGTCGATGTAGGCGGCGCGGACGTGCGCGAGCGCCGGCGTCAGGTACGAGGTGTTGAGGTGGGCGGTGAGCGCCGAGAAGGAGGTCGTGGTGAGGTGTTGCGTGATCGAGTCTGGTACCACGATGGAGGGTTGGTCAGTATACTCGTAGTTGTTGTCATAGTCATCGGTAGTGGGGGTAGGGGCCGCGGGCAGAGTGAGGAATTCTAGCGGCGGTTCGAAGAAGCTCGCCTCCTCCTCCTGCTGCTGCTGCTGCTGCTGCTGCTGGGCTTGGTGATGCGGGTTGATGATGGGGAATGATTTGCTTTGGGACGGGGTCAGGTCCGGGAAGACTTGGATGTAGCTGATGCCGCCGGGGCCATCGTCTCCTCTTCTCCCAGCGCGAGAGAAACCACCATTAGGGAATGGGGCTGGCACTGGGGCCGGTGGGTTGATGGCGTTCCGTCGCGTGGAGGATCCGGACGGTCGGCTGCTGGGCTTCTTGGACTGAGACTCACCTGGCAGATATTCCATCCTTGCGCTTATGCTTCTGCCTTTTCTGATCCTGGTTTTCCGGCTGATTACGGAGTTGTTGCGGTCGAGGCGGTGCGTGAATGCGGTCCGGGTAAGGTGAGTTTTGAGTGAAACAGCCGAGGACAATTCATAGACGTCGTGATCTTTATATAGTCATGATCGTGAGGTCTGGCACACAATGCGATTTGAAAGAAACCGGAGGATTGGTGGTGATAAAGGATGGTTGGTTGCGGGGAACAAATAATGAGAACAAACCAGACAAACAGATCTGGCGATAAGTTCCTTTTGTTGTTGTTGATTCAGCCTGGGTTAGAGTGTCATTTCCTTGCATCACCGCCTGCCTAAAAGGAGAGGTTCCGTCTGGGTCCTTGAGATAATACGAGGTGATGCTGGACAAGGTTTATCCGGCCTATCTACCCATGATGTCTTGCGTTTAGACTCATTCTGATCGTTTAGATAGAACACCCCAGAGAGTCCTCGTCAACCCTCGGCAGCACTTTGCTAACAACATCACTATCAGCAACTCACATGTCTTACTGAGGAATTCAAGCATTCCACGCCCTCTTACCAATTCTGCCAGTTAGTTCCACTTGTCAAGGCGGTGATGGTGTCTCGGTCTATAGCCCGCGTGGAAAGGCATTTTGCCCCGGTCATCATCCCTTGAAAGACCACAGAAACTGAAAATGCGATATTAGTCTATGATATTATACATCTAGATCACTGACGATGGTCATTTATATACATGCACCTCTGGTGAGGATCTCCCAACCATGTACAAGCGGGGTGGATGCACAGCATCCGCATCCACGGTTTACTTCTTAAGAAACAATCAGGGTCTTTAATGCCTCGCGTTCAGCCAGAATCTCGGCCTGGAGCTTTCTGGTCTGGCGTAGGGCCTCATCCCTGGGAAGGGTTAGTTGAAAGGTCATTTATCAAGGCCAAACTGAAAAAAGGGTAAAACTCACCGATCGGACTGCAGTTCGGCGACTTCAATCTGCGCACGGTTCATCCGACTGACCACCTCCTCCATCTCCGAGTCGGCGTCCCGGAGTAACTTCTCCAACTCCTTGACCCGCTTCGCCAGCGTCTCGAACTGAACCGCCTCATTCAGCGCCATTCCGTCCCCACTCGTCGTCTTATCTAACCGCGGTGAACGCGCGCCGAATGGGGTGTTCGGCGGCTTCGGAGATAGGGCCATTGGGCTGCGCGCGCCATTCTTGATGCGCGTCAGTTGAAGACTGTGACTCTCCTGAAGATTGCGGACTTCTTCCTCATGACGCGCCATCTCGTCCTCGGAGAACTGCTGTGCCATGAGAAGGATATCCTCCATCTCCTTGAGCCGGCTCTGCATCTCGTTGATGCGCGCAGCCGACAGCTGCTGCTCTTTCTCGCCCTTACCAATCGCCTCGGCTAAGCGGGCACGCAGAGCAATGTTGTTTGCAAGTTGTTGCTGCACATGATCCGCTAAGCTGTCGGTCCGAGTCACCGATTCCGCCAGCATGGGAGACTGCGCCACAGTGGCTTCAGCCTGATCCCGGTCAGCCTGGAGCTGCTTGTAGGCAGTCTCCAGGGAGGTCGAAGTGACCAAGACTTCAGCAAACCCGTCCCGGTCGCTTTCATAGTCCTCAGGGACCGTGATGTCATGCTCCTGTAGCAGAACTCGCAAGGAAGTGGTCTCCTGCTCGGCGCGGTCCAGATCCATCTTCAGACCTGCGAGTCCCTTTTCGCACTGCCATTTCTGCTCCATGGCTTCTTCCGCACGGTGGCGGAGCAAGTTGACCTCCTCTCGGAGGTTCCGTACCTCGCGTTCGTAGCCGATCTTACGCGGAGACTCCGCCATCTGCGCACGAGCCAGCTCAAGCTCCATCATCTTTAGCTGTTTCTCGTACTCGCGAGAATCGTAAGCCTGGCGTTCCAGCAAACGTCGAAGAGCTTCGTGAAGGGCATCCCGTTGGGCTTCAACGTCTTCAATTCTGTCGGCGAGGTTCTCTCGCGGCTCGCTCCGTTCCTTGACATTAACGGAGTTTGACCGAGACAAAGAGTTGGACCGAGATAGACCGGTCGGGGCACTTGGTTTTGAGCGCACACGTGCCAATGAGTTCGAACGAGACAGACCGAGTCCCGTACCTCGTGCCGAAGGCATGGTATCTTCCTCCGCGATGGAGGCGAACCGGCTCCCTTGCAGTTGTGCTAGGGAGGCATTCTCTATCTTCAGTGCCTCAATCTCCCCCATTAGCCGCGCCACCTCGGAAGGGTCCGACGATTGCTGGTGGGAGTTATGGGCACTATTTTGTAACTGAGGTATTACATTCTCCTTCAGATGGTCCCGCTCATTTCGGAGCTGCTCGAGCTCGACACGCATGGCAGTGAGCAGATCTTCGAAGTTGTCTTTGATCTGACGCTCTTCAGCCAATTTCCGACGAGTAGCTTCCAAAGCTGTCTCCAGCTCTTTGGTACGGGAGGACATATCTGAGAGATCGACTCTTTCCCGTCGCAGCTAGAACGATGCGTTAGCGCTAGCAGAAGAAGAGGCCTGAAGCATTCATACCTGGTGCACTTGCGATTCCAAAATCTGAACGTGGGCCTCGGAGGCCGCTCGTCGACCGCGCTCTTCCTGCAGTTTCTGAGACAGCTCTACCTTGATCTGAGCCCGCTCCTGCTCTGCAGTACGCTTGTATTTCTCGATGTCCTCCACTCGACCACCAGACTCATATGCATAACGAATAGAGCTACTGCCAGAGTCGGAGAAGTAGTCGCTGGTTCGACGGTTAGGCGTGTCGAAGACCGAATCCGACTGTAGTCGCTCGACCAGGTCCTCTAACTCCATCTCCCGGCGGATCGAACCCGCAAGCTCTGAGCTGATCTCCCGCAACTCATTCTCGAGCTCTGCCACCAGGGCTGGGGCTCCGGACTTCTCCAAAATGCTGGCGCTGCTGAGCGACGAATTGCGATGCGGAAGAGACGTATGCGGGCGGGTAGGATCGAAGGGGACCGTCGTGGATGGCGTTATAGAAAAGGACGCGCTGGGCAGTGACGGCGGCATGGGTGATGGAATTGGGGATCGGCCGGACTCGGAGATCTCGGTGCTCGAAGATTCGGCGCCAGGTGAGGAATTGCCTGCCCGCCACCCAAAGAAAGAGCTGATCTTACTGCCGGGTGTCTTCGGTTGTTTGCTATCCCCCATAGTGGACGAGGTGCCGGTGCGGCGGGGAGGGTCGATCTGCAGCGGGGCTGGACCATTCGACGGCAGGTGCAGAGCCATTGTGGTAGCGCGCTTCGGGTTTGTAGCCGGGGATATACGTTTATGGACGAAGGATTCACTGACAAGACGGTTATGTACCCGAGTCGCATTCGTGAATCGCGTGGAGTAAGCAATGTCGTAAACGGGGGTCTCGTCGTCGCTGTCGTTGACAGGGCTCCCTATGGACGAAGTCGTGTCTATGCGGAGATGGGACGAGGACGGACTACCACGCGGGAATCTGGGGCAGACAAAGAAGAGCACGGGGTTAGTCCTGGAACGTGCGCGGGGAGCGTTGGACATAAGAAGCCCTCCCCAGAGCTGCGAAAGGCGCGCAAGGCGGAGTGAGTGTACCAGCCAAGGGGCAAGGGTCCTTAAGGGAGAGCTTCAGAGGGAGAAGGGATGCGACGGACTGCCATACCTATCCAGGTCCCTGGGAGGAGAAACGGGCTGGTGTAGTTGCTGTTCTGGTTCGTGAGTATATTCGGAGTATGGTTCAGGCGTGTGTTGATATATATCGTCTTCGTTTTCGTCGTCCTGATGGTCATATACGTAATCCAGAAACGACGGCGATGAAACCGGGGACAAGGCCAGCGTCTGGCCGGCAGCCAGAGGGGAGGCCGGGTGAGAATCCGGATGCGCAGGCGAGTTGCCCCGAGGAGAGGCAAGTAGGGACGAAGAGGAGGAGAAAGGCCTAGCTGCGTGCGAGGAGTTCACAGCATCCTGGGGAAGCGGCTTCCTGCGCACGGTGAAGGGAGAGGAGAGGGAAGGGGTTTGCGTATGAGATGCAGATGCTAAGGTGGGAGAGGAGGGGGAGAGGGGGATAGGGACAATAGACGAAGGAGGAAAGTCGGGAGGGGGGTAGGCGGAAGAGGAGGTGGAAGTAGTGGAAATGGGGGAGTTAGGGAGACTTGGCCCCGGACCGGGGTTGGGGTCAAGACTCCCTGGGTGATAGGAGATAGTAGTAGTAGTAGTAGTGGTAGAGATATTATTGGTGTCCTGATGCGTGGTAGTGGTTGTAAGAGGCGGCGGCGGCGGAGGAGGAGGAGGAGGTGAAGCGGTAGTAGCGGCGGTGATTGTAGTCGCATCGGGATGGTCATGGTGATTGCCATGGTCATGGTCATCATGGTTCTGACTATGGTTCGATGGGGGAGGACTCGAGGGGAGGAAACCGCCCGAGGCAGGAGGCGGAGAAGTCCAGCCGGGGGCCATTGCACTCTAATTGGGTGAGAAGCAGACAAGTGACACGAACAGGAACAAAGCAGATCAAAGACAATCAGCTGAGGATCGACGCAGGCCTCATGGCTGACGGGAAAGTTTGGGTTTGGACTCAGGAATGGAAAGGCTACTGCTGCGTGTGTGAGGTGAGACTAGGACTAGGACTGAGACTGAGACTGAGACTGAGACTGAGACTGAGACTTTGGGGTTGGAAAGAATAGGAGAAGATCCATTGATTGGAAAGAAATTGGGGGGGGAGGAGAAAAGACGGAAAATCTGGAGGAAAGCTTGAAAAGGGAAAATGCAATAATTAATTCGAATTAATCCGGAAATCAACTAAAAAGAGGAAACGTAAAGGAAAGGGGGGATGAGATTGGCAGAGGAAGAGAAGGCCAGAAGCGCGCGGGAAAAAGGAGAGCCAGCGAGATGCAGAAAGAGGCAAAGCTGGGATCCACTTGGCCGTGGGATCTATACAATGATGTTGGTGGATTGACACTGCTAACTGGGTACTGGCTGGAGAACAATAATTTCCATTGTGAAGCTCAGAGCACTCTATGTATTTTATGCTGATGAGATCACTTCTCTCCCACTTCTCATTCTTCCTCTATACAATACCACTACCAC